AGGCACGCACGGTGTGCAGAAAGGAATAGTTGACATTCCTAATCAATTAGATAAGGGGGAAAAAAGCAGTTCATTTTCCTGTTCAAAATCAAATTATCATGGTTACTTCAGATTTCAAGGGCATTTATCTCCCGGCCTCAGACAGTGAAGGGGAGGGGGGGCACAGGTGCTGGGTTGAGGCAGGACCCAGCTGCACAGCCCTGGCCAGGACAGGAGCAGCCTTGGCGTTTGCCTTGGTAGAGCCAGGGTATGTGCTCTTACCAGGCCAGGGTTAGCTGGCAGTGCCCAAGGGAGAGCCTTAAAACTCTTCTGCCAAATGCCACGAGGGGAGCACTCTGAGATCCTGCCTATGTGCTGCCTGGCTGTGGAAACCCAGATAAACATTTACCCAAGGCCATGCCAAGGGAAGCGAGGTGAGGAGAAAAGTGGCTCCCATGGCTGTAGGAGAATGGAGTCACTTTCCCTTCCCTGGTTCTGCTCTGGGTGTTTGCGGGGAGGAGGTACACTCTCAAAACGTGGGGCGTCTTCCCCCAAAAGCGGAGGCAAGCGCTGGCCCCATGGGCCAGATGCGGCATGAGGCAGCATCTTCAGGTCGCTCCTTGCACTCACAACGCCGCGGGCTTCATGATTTCCCGAGAATTTGGCGATAAAACACGTAGCTGAGTCGAGGAGGGCCTGCACAGCCCTGCTCCGAGCCTCGGGAGACTGCGCTCGCCCTAAATCCCAGCCTGCAGTGCCACCTAACGAGCATCTGCTGAGACGTGAAAAGCAGGCGTTGGCCGCAAAGGCTAACTCAGGGCGCTCCCCCTGCCTCAGCCATCACCAGTGAAGGATCTCCTTCCATTAAGGAAGTCGTCAGCCCGTTTTGCTCTACCCTGGCGGCTCCGAGGAAGCTAGGGCACCACGGTGGATGGAAGGTTTATGGCCAAATAGTGTCTAGGAGAAATCACTTCAGCCTGGTGATCTGGATGCTCACTGGGGGTTGGAAGATGTGATTGCCTGCTGTGCTCCCTGCTATTTTTGTTCTTATTGTATATGACAGCGCACTGCAAAACTTATTGCTGGCCCAGGGAGTGAGAGTTTCACCTAAGAGCAAACCCTAATTGCACTCCTGGTGGCATGAGGGATTCTTGGGTGGTGTGGCGTGGCACGGCAGGGCACAGTGTAACAATTTTTGCCTGACAACGTGGATAAAGGTCACCTCCTACCTCCTGTATCTCCAGGGCTCAGCACAGATGCAGTTCAGTGCCCACTTCTGGCCCCAGATCAGCTCTGAGCACAAGTACCAATCCCATCACAGCCTGCACCCCTCAGATGAGGGCCTCGTAGAAAGCAAGCATCACAGTTCTGGCCCCTTCCCAGTGTGAGAATGGGGGATGTGCACCGCTTTTCATGGAAAATGTCCTGTGGAAAGAGGCTTTAGGACTTAGGGTGCTCTACAGGGCAGGTGGGCTGCTGTCCATGAGTCGAGGAGAGCCTGCAAGCCCTGCTCCAAGCCTCGGGAGACTGCGCTCGCCCTAAAGGAATGCTGCTGAAATGAGAAGCTTATATGTCCATGTGCATTTCCTTAAAACAGCAAAATTCAAATTCATTGAAACAGCAGAACTCGATTGAAATCACAAATACATGTATTTATGGAAACCCACAGAAGTGAGCAAACAAGGAAAATGACAAAGCACTTATTTTCCCTTGCCCACCTATGTTTCAGTCCTAAGGTTCGGAGCACTGAAAATCCTCCTAGAGCTTCCTGAGAAGGGAGCAATCAGCACTGTGTACTTTGTGTACCACAGCAGTGCACTTCAGATCTGCTGCGACACAGAAGCATTCAGCACTCAGAGCAGCCTAGGGAGAAGGAACCCCATTCTCTAGCAAACTGTTTATCTTGGAAGGTATTTCAGCACCTTCACAAGGACGTTTACGTATTTACATGAATCAGTCACTGGACAGCACGTGCATGCAGCCAGGGATTGGGACCAATACCAGGACACGGATCTCTTGTGCAGGAAAATAGCTGTGAGGTTGGGCTGTGTCATACAGCTACCTGTTCCCTGGTCCAGTGAGTTCTGAATGTGACTTGCATCAAGAAGGACAACGTCAGCAGGTGATTGTATGCCCCTTACTCTCAAGATAGACAATAACCCCAAAGATGGATTTCATGGTCCCAAAGACAGAAAAGGGATGGGACTTTGATGTCTAGCACTAGTGTGTGCTGTAACTGCTGAGCTACAGTTTAACAGATAAGAAAACAACAGATCCTCTTTCAGCGGTATGTTCAAAGACAAATAGTAGCTGCTAGTTCTGGCACTGACCCTGTCCTAGGAACTAACTGAGCTCTTTGAGGAAGTCCAGGAAGAAACGCCTAAGAATGTTTTCCAGTTGCACCCAGGTGTAAGCTAACGTGCAGGAAAGCTGAGTGGCCCACCAAGGTGTCATCTTCCCTGTTTAGAGGACCACAGTCTGGGGTTTGGTGCTTGCTATCCCATTTAGATCACACTCCTGGCACCTCAGAGCTGCACTCAAGGCATGGCCACAATGGAAGGGAAATGCTGAGTGCTCTGATCTAGTGTGAAAGGCTGAAGCAGAAAGTTGTTGGTGCAGCTCATAGAATCAAGGTGAAACAGCACCTTGTGCTGGGGCTCTGGCTTTTTGGCCCTCTGAATCTGGGAAATCCCTGAGCTGGGAGAGAATCAGAGCAAGGCAAGGCACACACAACAAAAGTGCAGCTTCAAACACGTCATTTGCTGGCGGCTGATGCGAGACTCTGGGTAAACTGAGGGGCTGCCAATTGGCAGCAGAGGGCAGCTGCATTCTTTCCACAAGCTTTAAGCAAACCTATAGCGTTAAGAGCACTGATCAATACATGCATTCCCATTCCCATAGGGTAGCTTTTCTGGAGTCTAACTGCTGACACTCAGCACAGCCTGCATTTGCCAGGCCAGCTCAGCTCTGACTGGGCTGGACTCAGAGGCCGGTGCAGCACTGACTTCGTCCTTTTGCTGCCCTTTATTTTTGCGATGTGTTATGAGGCTGTGTACCAAAAGCACAACCTGCATATAAAACAGACCAAGCAGCGTAACGAGTGCCATCTACTGATAATTAAACACACAGCAGAGCAGAGCAATAGGCGGGTTTACCAGTCAAGCCAGCGATACATTGCAAACAGCATTGGCAGCACGACTCCCATGGCTGCCAGCTCCCATGGCGTTACAGAATCACGGCAGCATTCTGCTCCTGCTGCAGTGTTGTTTCCTGGAGCTACGTCAGGCAGCATGCATAGAATCATAGAACGGCCTGGGTTGAAAAGGATCACAATGATCATCTAGTTTCAACTCCCTGCTATGTGCAGGGTTGCCAACCAGCAGACCAGGCTGCCCAGAGCCACATCCAGCCTGGCCTTGAATGCCTCCAGATATGGGGCATCCACAGCCTCCTTGGGCAACCTGTTCCAGTGCATCACCTCGCTCTGTGTGAAAAACTTCCTCCTAATATCTAATCTAAACCTCCTCTGTCTCAGTTTAAAACCATTCCCCCTTGTCCTATCACTGTCCAGTACTTCTGTGATGTGCTGGGCTGTTTTGAAGCTGTACTAAATCTCTGCTGCGCTCTTCTGAAAAAAAAAAATAAATAAAAACCCTGGGTAGAATTAGGCTTTATAGAATCTAAATGACCGTTAATAAATTTCTAGTGTTAATGTAAGTGCCTGTATCTACTGCAAGCCGAGTCGTTTAATCAAACCAGCAGCAATTAAAATGGTAATTCCTCTGTACAAGATTTTGCTTGCAGTTTTTACTCAAGTAAAACTCTTTGAAGTTAATTGGAATTTTGATTAAAGGCTCCTGGATCTGGTTTTCTGGATTTGTACTAAGGAAGGTTCAATATTTGCTTTGGTTTTCTGTGCATTGAGTTCCCTTCTATGTGTTAGTGTGACTGTACAATTAGTCATAGCAACTCCAGTGAAGGTTTTGGTAATCTAATTCCTGATATACTTTAAAAAGGTCTTTTATCACAGAGTGGCTTTTAAAGGTTGTAAGATCTGAAAGACTGGGCCGCTTGTTTGTCATCATTATTTTTAGTTCCTATAAAAGGCTGAGTAACATTCACTTAGCAGTCATTCATGACTTGGGATAGGTGGGAGGATTCTTGCTTTTCACCCCATGTGAAGAGTGTGATGCAAGTGATGGGAATGTTGCTATGCCACACGTGGAACAGTGGTTGGAGTGAGGTGAAGAATGGCAAAAGCAGGAAGGATGAAGGGGAGGATCATGTAGAAATCTGCCTGATGGTACTGAGGACGTGGACTCCTGCTGTACACCTCTACTTATAACGCAGGTTACTTTGTTTCGAGAATGCCTTCAGTATTCGTTCTCTCATACTGACAATAAATATGTAATGCTTGAGTTTGAGGCGGCACAAATTCAATAAAGGGATGTAGATGTTCTGAACTACCAAGTGCAGCACCTATCCATAAAGGATTCAGCCTCAAGTTTTTGTGCAGCAAAGGCGGGATTTCTCTTCCCCTCTATCCCAACACGGTCAATAGAATCATTGGAAGGTTGGAAGAGACCTCTCAGACCCCCTGGTCCAACCATCAAGCAGAACATTGTCCCTCATTTCTCAGCTCGGATCTGCAATAGTTCGCACAAGGATTAAAAGCGGTCGCAACCCAGAGAAACGCTCAGGGGTTTGGCTACGGTTTTTCCGAAGCTCTTCGCTTGGAGATGCTGAGTAGGCTGGGTCTGTGCAGGTACAGAGCCCGAAGCACGCTTCAGGCCGCTCTACGCCGCCGTTACCCAAATTCAGGGCTGTCACGTAAACGAACGAGGGCAGCGGGCAGCGCGGGAGCGGCTGTGAGGGGGGCCGAGGCGGGAGGCGGGAGCGGCCCCTCCGGCGGTTCCCGCCCAGCGCGAGGCTCCGCCTCCCCGCGCGCGCCGAAGGAAAACGTTGCGCAGGTTCTACAGCGGGGGGGGGGGGGGGGGGGGGGGGGGGGGAGCGGCGGGCAACGGCCGCCGACGGCCGCCGACGGGCACCACCGGCCTCGGCCCCGCTGTCCTCCCCTGCCATGGAGCTGTCGGCTATCGGGGAGCAGGTGTTCGCGGTGGAGAGCATCCGCAAGAAGCGTGTGCGGAAGGTGGGCCGCGTGGTGGGCGAGAGGGGTCCCCCCCGGCCCGGCCCGGCCCGGCCCGCCTCTTTTCCTCCCTCCTCACACGGGAGCGGGGGGCGTGGTGGCGGTGGCCGCTCTGGGATGGGGCGGGGAAGGGGGGTGTCTCCGGGGCGGGGGGTCTGTGAGTGAGAGTCACCCTATAGTGGCTGGGGGGCTCGGCCTCAGCTCGGTGACTCAGTTTCCCTGCGTCGAGGAACCCCGTCCCTGGGGGGGTGGGCTAGCCGTATGCGTCTGGTCGTCGGGAAGTGCCTTATAGGGCGGTGTGTGCAAGCATCTGGAAGCTGGGGAGCCCCTCTGTTGGAAAACACGGGCTGCAAGGCTGTGCTTTCTGTGCTGTCACTTGGTGCCAGCAGCAGCAGCGCTTCCATCCTCCTGCAGTGCTCTGAGAAGTGTTTAACAAGTCCTGTGGTATAATATTAAAGATTTCTTTGCTGGTTGTGCACGTTCTTCTGGGCCTCTGCGTGTGGTTTCCGATTGCTGCGTGTTTGTTGTTTGGTTTTGTGCTTGGGGTGAACAGATAAGCGGTTAACACTGAGCTTGAGCTGTTTGGGTTGAAAGGTGGAGTGGCTGTGATGGATGGAGTGGTGCTCTGGTGCAGCAGCTGGAACATGCTAAAGTAACGCTTCATAGGATCTCAGTCTTGTATATCTTCTCTGCTTGAACAGATTCCTCTGACACCTGCTCCCAGCGTGCATCTCCCTCTTGCTTTTATGCATACTGACTTTTTGCAGGGCTCCCTGTAAATGCAGGGATGGCTGCAGTCTGGCGTTTGCGATTCTGCCTGATGCTTTCCTGCTCCAGCCTACTGTAGGGAACCTGCTTTTAGAAGCAGGGTCAGACTTGATCTCCAGAGGTCCCTTCCAGCCTCTGTGATTCTTCTCAGCGATGGTCCCAAGCTGTGGGGAGTTTGCATCCTTTTAAACAGCCCTCCGTGCCCACAGGGAAGGAGATACCACAAGTATAGTTGAAAGAGGAAGTGGTGTTGTTTTGAAAATGAAGTGGTGGGAAATGAGCTCTTTGCTCAGTCCTGTTGATTGGTTACTTCTCTTACCGTAGCCCATATTTGGTTGTAGACTTTACCTGTTTTTTCCTTCTTTTTTTCTCCCCTCCAGGGTAAAGTAGAATACCTGGTGAAGTGGAAAGGATGGCCCCCAAAGTAAGTTGTTTTACTTGTCTTTTTCTTAACTGTTTATTAATAGTATTCACTGTATCTTTGCAAGCGAGAGTCTCATTCTTCACGGGTAACCTCATGTGCCTCATTCTGACAGCTGTAAACAAAGAGCCACAAACCAAAACTCTGTATTGTTTCCACACTGACAGCCGAAGGATGCAGTCTGTATGCCAACCTCTTCTGACTGGGTTTTGCCACTACTGAGCTATTTCATTGAGATGATTTTTAGTTAAAAAGCTTTTATAATTCAGTATGGTTTGACAAGGAACCTTGATTCTTCAGAGCCTGGAATGGTGCTTGCTTTTCTGAATCGGCACCAAGGGGACTGCACTTTATTTGTAGAGCTATATGTAGTCTTGTAACATAGAAAACAAGGCAGTGGTCTTGTCTTTGTTATCCTGCTGTATCCCCTCTGCAATTCACAAAAGGGAAGGGGCAATATTTCAGATGGATTGTAGCCAACTGGAGGTGATCTTTGTCCCTTTGAAATTACTGCAATGCCTTTATTTCCTTGTCTGAAACCTTCTGTTGTTCTCAGTGCCTTTTCTGCCTTTGCTTTGGCTGCCATATTGCAAGAGGGAAACGATATATATATATATGTATATATTGCATCATTGCTGTGCACTGTTTACAGATGCTTTTTTATTAAAATGCAGCTGCCGCTGAAAAAGAGTCATTGCTTTGTGTCTGTACAATCTGTGACATGCTTTGAGATTAAAAAGATTAGGTAACTGGAGAACATTTCTGTGTCAGCTAGCAGCCTGATGGAACAGCCTCATGGTCTTACCCATGGGGAGAGAGGTCTGCTTTTCTGTAGGTACCCAGTGTGCATGGGTGTGATTGCAGTGTGTATCTGGCTGCCCTGGACGGTGCTGAGCAAAGGGGAACTTCTGCTCGCTCATCCTTGAGTTGCAAAATGCTGGGTGTGATCCTGATGGGTGTTTGGATGTGATCCCGACAGATTGTACCTCATGTTTAAGAAGGTGGAATGTGTTTCTGTGTGCCTAATCCTTGTGCTTACAGGGTGTGCATAAGTAGCTTTCCCTCTCTGGTGGTGATAGTCAAATTGGGATGACTGTTTTCTTGACTGTAAATCCTGCTGTTGGAGTGTAACCTAGTGCTCTTAATGAGTACCAGCTGCAATGTGGATCAGTTCTTGGGCCTTTTTGCCCCTCCTAAGTAGCTACACCTAATTTAATCATTATCAGAGGTTGGGAACGTTTCTAGTCTGGGAGGCACTGTCCCCTTTGACTGGAATACTAATATATCTGGAAAGGAGAATTGGGCAAACACAGCGAGATCTTTTTTGGCAAATGACATTGCAAGAGAAGGTGGAGTGAGACTTGGTATCACGTTTCTTTTGACAGAGCAGCCCTTATTCTTGCTACTGCCTTTTCGTGCCCTATACCTTGGAACTGTAGGGGAACAGGATCTCTGGGGAATTAAAAGCACAGCTTATGCCCAGAGAGCAAGAGAATATGAAGGTTCCCTTATTTTGATGTGAGAAGTCCGAACACCTTTTTCATGTACACTCAAGTTCAAAGAACACTTTTTTTTTTTAACTGTTACACAGCAGTTTGATTTGCTTAAAACCAAGATGCTTTGAGCATGCAAGCTACTTTCATCCTGCTAGCAGTCTCTGTTCCTTGTTTCTAAACAGAAATATGCCTGTGATGGCATGTAACACCCCACAAGCTGTTTGCATCTTTGTCTTCCAACATCTGCTGTTTTCTCATCCCACATCATATTTCTCTTCATTCCCCTCCTCAACCTTGTCGCATTGTTATTTATAATCTCCATACCAGTTATCTTGTGATTCCCACTGAATGCTTCATGGAAAAAAGCAAGCATAGAACTGATGTTTGCTGCTTTAACATTTATTTGATATTTTACACGCAAAAAGTGTTAATGCCCCATTCCTCGGATTCCTGGACTGTACTGCTGGAGTCAGGGAATGAAGGAATGACTGCCTGATTCTAGCTACAAGCTTGTTTACAACTTGCCTTGGAGTTAAGAGGGGAGGGGGAAGAGGAGGAGTAGAAGGAGGGGGAAGAAGGATCATATGATCTATGTTTTCCAGAGTGCCTGCTCTCTGCAGTTCTGCTGCAGCCTGGGCTGTGTGTGCCCGTATGTATAGCTCTGTGTGTGTGTGTGTGTGTGTGAGTGTGTGGCAAACTGAACCGTGGTTGTTTTTTTTTTTTTATATGCAGTGTTTTGCCACTGCAGTGAAGCCAGGAATTGAGCTGCAGAGAAAAAGGCAACACCCACCAAGGGTTTTTCTTTCTTTCTTTTCTTTTTAAAGCAAATTTTTCTTCTCCTGCCTATGAAAAGTGATCTGATGTCGTCCCCCCCCCCCCTTTACGTTACCATTTTTCTGAAATTTGAGGAATGAGTGCCAGAATCCCTGCAGCTGGGAGGAAACCCTCCTCTGTTCAAACAGCATCTTGGTTTTGACAGCTCACAGTCAGGTTGCTGCAAGAGGCTTGGGCGAAGGAGGGAGGGTGGATCAGTTGGTTATGAAGACATGTCTGTTCTTAACCCTCTGATGCACAGTGCACCTAGGGATATCTGAATTCCATATTTCTGCTTCTCAGTTTGGTATTAAAAACAAACAAACCTGTACCTCCATTTATAGAACCATTCTCCAGGAACTCTTCTGTCTTTCAGTACCTTTCTTCTAGCTCATGAGTAGATGAAAGGAAAAAGCAGTCCACCTTCCTGTGTACATATGTGAGTGTGCCACATGTTGCCAGTGCAGGCTGTGCTTCATCCAGAAATGTAAGCCTCCTAAAATGCTTTTTCTGAGTTTGAAGGCACTGCTACAAATGCACCTTTGCCACTTGTACGTTTCTCCTGTCCGTCCCCCTCTCCAGGGGCTGGAGAAGCTCTGCTTTGAGACACTGGACATCACGTGCTGGAAACTGAATGCTCTGAGGCATTTGGGATGTCAGACTTATCTTTTTGCTTTAGGGTTTGCATAATGAAGATGTGCTGCCCATCTTTTCTTGGCAACCGTGAGCCCTTAGAATAAACCCACTGCAGGGACTGCCTTGTGACCCTTTCATCTTCCAGAAACCTTTCACCATTGGAATCTTTGGCTGCTTCTCTTTGGTGTTAACCACAGCCGTGCCCCTTGGGAACAGGTTTTGGTGTGGCCTGCTGTGTGGTGTCAGCCCTTTCCTGAGCAGCTGGCTCCATTGTGGCTGTCTGGCAGCGGAGGAAGAGGGAGCCGCAAATGACAGTGTTCATGGGTTGCCTTCAGAGTGTCGAGTTCATTTTAAGCAGTTTCAGTAGTCGTAACCACAGTGCAGGTGGGTTCCTCCTGGGCAACCTCTGCTAGGCAGAAATAACCTGCAGGGGGAGCCGAGTAAGAGGAGCAGTAGTTGGATAGTTGCCATCTACTTGCCTCAGGGCCCAAATCTAAACACGTTCAGTTGAATGGCAACAGTGAAGAAAAATTAAACTCTTCTTAAAGAAATACTTTTGGTTCCAATGATTAGAGGTAATTAATAATGCAGGGAAGAAAGCATACTTAATCTTTGAGCGCTCTAAATTAAGAGAGACCTATTTTTCAGAAAGCTGTATCAGATTTCATCTCGCTGTCCCATATATTTGCTGGATTTCTGGGAGTGCTGCAAGTGCGACCTGTTTATGCTTTGCCTTAAGACTAGTTTGTGGCTCTGCACAGGCTTTGCAAATAGTGTGAAGGGAGCCCTGGGAGGAAAGCCTTCCCTGCTCTCCTGCAAATTGTTGCTTGGTGTTTGGCGGAAGGGGAGGTGATGTCTGGGGGGGACTGGCTAGAATTCCTAAGAGCTCTAGCAGTGTTGTGGCAGGCCCCACGGAGCCTTGTGAAGACAATATCCAGGGTCTCAGCACGCTGGGAACGGTCCTGCAGAGGGAATATTTCATTAAAGCATTGTTTACTTTATATTCCTTATGTTTTTCTTCAGATACAGCACATGGGAGCCAGAAGATCATATCTTGGACCCTCGCCTGGTAGTGGCTTACGAAGAAAAGTAAGTGTGTGTGTTCTTTTCTTTCACTGGGTGCAGGAAATAGTGTCCTTACTCTGTTGTGGTGTCCCCACTTCAATCAAAGATGAGACGTGCAGCAACAAGTCCTTCTCCATCTCTGTAACCTGGCCTTGATGAGGCAGATAAGGCAAAATGAGGCCAAGCACAAGCATTGAGCCAAATAACAATTGTTCTCAGGTTTTAATTGGGTCCAGAGCTGGACTGGAGTGATGGGAGGTGATAAGTTTCCCTAGCCCGTTCTTGATCAGTTAAGTCAGAGAAGTTCCTGTATTGCAAGAATTTCACTCCTGCAAGAAGCAGTTCTGGGATGCTTTCCAAGTCCACGCTATTCACAGTTGGTTTTGAACAGAGGAAATGAGGGAGCTTTGCAAAAGGTGGAAGTCCTGGCTAGGCTTTGTGCTGTGGTGTTTATTGCTTTGTTTGATTTGTGTTCATCCTTCACAGGGAAGAGAGAGACCGTGCTTCAGGGTACAGAAAAAGAGGTCCCAAACCAAAGCGCCTCCTATTGCAGGTAGCTTCTTGCTTTTCTTCTGTACGTTTCTAATTAGTTAGCGCTGTGCTGCTGCTCTGCTCACAGGAAGGTGGAAACTGTCCGTTCACTGTTGCATGGACAAAACTGGAGGTAAAATGCTAATGCAAGAACTTGATCTCAGTGGGTAGGGAGGTACTTTTAACCTGTTAGCTGAACAGCAGCTAGCAAAATGGCAAAAAAAGACACAAAAGCACAAGAAACAGCTCTTGCTCTCTGAACTAGGATCTTGCCTGGTTGACATGGTCTTTTCACTTCACACTGGGCTTGGACTTTCCAGCATGTGAAAGGTAGTAGCTGCATGCTTTGATGATTGCCATACAAAGTAACCAGTCCTAGGCAAAGCATGTAAGGAAGAGTTTAGATTGCAGGTGAAGAGATGAGAGAAACAGTGTTGTAGGAGCACCACAGCTTCTCCTAGGTCACCTAGATGCTCAGGTAAGAATAGATTCCTGGCCCCCAGGTGAGAGCCCTGATGACTACATCGTCAGATTCCCATTCTGAACCTTGCTGTATTGATGTTCTTGTCAGCGGCTGTATGGCATGGACTTGAGGAGTGCCCACAAGGGAAAGGAAAAGCTCTGTTTCTCTCTTGCACGGAGGTTTGGAGGAGGAGACAGTAGCCTGCCAGGGGCCAAGACAGGGCAGGCAGAGTTCTCTGAGAAGACTGGGGGAACAGTCCTGCCATTCTCTCTCCGGAAGCAACGCAAAAACCAGAAGTACTTGCGACTGTCAAGGAAGAAGTTCCCCCGCATGGCAAGCCTGGAGAACCGCAGCTGCAGGCATGAGTTCTTCTTGAATGATGCAGTAGACCTGGAGACCCAGCAAAGCCCTGAGGACTGGGAGGCTGTGCAACACACCGGCAAAGAAGGTAAGGCCAGACACCCCTTGGCTGAGAAGTTCTAGGGCATGAGAAGGATGCTCTGCGTGCTGCCTCCTTACTTGCCTCATCCTGGGATTGTGGCTGAGGTCAGATCCTCAGAGCATCTCTTGCTGGCTCACGTTGTGGCTTTCATTTCTGCAGATGTCTTTCCTGGTTGGATGACTACAGTTTTTGAATGCTGTCACCTCTCTGTAGTCTTAAATCAACGGCACCACTCCCATGTTAGAAAACATGCAGAAGTTACTAGAAGTTAATGCTGTGTTCCAGTTTCCTTCTGGCAGAGGTGACAGTAACCTCTGCCTCTGTCCACACACCCGTGTGTTTTTTTCCTGTTGCTCATGTAAAAGGAGCTTGGCTGGTCTTGGGCAGACTCTGACATTGGCGCTCCTCTACTGGTGCTGCTCTGAGAGCAAACAGGAATGTCCTTAGGAACCCACAGTACATTCCTTCTGCCCCCTCCTTCCCTTTCCTCCTCACACCCCACATCCTCTCTAAAGCCCGTTGCTGTAGAGCTTATGTGAGAGGGAGGTGAGAGAGATAATTGAGGATGATAACGGCCTGATCCCATTGAGTAGGCAGCATAAGTGTAGGCATGGGAGATGGCCTGGCACATTTGGCATTTCTGGGGAGGGATACCATCCTCTTGTGCAGGAGGGCTGTGGGATGTGTACGTTGCTCTGAGTTACCAGGGAAACTCTATCCTTGCATTATTAGAGCTTCTGAAGGCGTAAGGCTTCCTGAGGAGTGGAAAACAAGGGCTTGTGCTGCTTGTAGTAGTTAAGAGAATCCTGTTACTCCTTGCTGAGAGTAGTTGTTAGCCAGGCCAGATTAGGCAAGATTTTGGAGAGAACACTGTGTTTAGGGAATCGGCACTATCCCCTCTTTCAGCCTGGGACTAGAACAGCACCTGAAATCCAAGGGGGAAGCAGTGGGACAAGCACAGAGGAATCCAGAGTCACATACTGGCAGCAGGCAAATGTGTGGGGCTGTTTTCAGCTAGAAGTGCTAGCCTCCAAGGCATTTGGGGATCTGAAGGGTGAATGGCACTGGAGATACATAAAATGGTTTTTGTTCTCCCTATGGCATATGGGATGTGTGGAATTCTAGTTAGTGTTAGGGTTACACACTTCAAGTGTGACAAGAAGAAGCCATAAATAACCTTTTAAGAATATATTTCCCATATTCTTTGCACAGCTTGAGGTAACAAGGTACAGTGCAGGTACAGTGGTAGAGGGAGGGTATATTTCCTTTCTCTGCCTATTTTTGTGGCTGTCTCTGGGAGCTAGGGATGGTGAGGTTTTGGATGGGGAGAAGGACTGTTAGTTATCAGTGCCAAAGTGCAGAAATATTTGGGTTTCTTATGGAGCTCTCGGGGAGCAAAGAAAGAACATGAGAAATGGAGAGCAGCCTCTTTGTGAAGTAATACTCATGTTTTGTAGCCAGGCTGCATTACAGATGCAACATGAAGAAGACCCTCATCTTTGGATCCCTATGCCTCTCATGAGAGGATCTAAGAACTTGTCATTGTTGACTTTTCGGGGGTAAGACATTTGCAAGAAGGTCAGCTTGCTCTTGGATGAGTGTGTTTAGCTGATACAGAGGCACATGGGTTGAGAAGGCACAGGAGACACTTGGAAACTGTGAATGGCTGGAGGCGCTGGGTGTTGTTACTTCATCCTGTCGATCTCCATGTAGGCTTATCCAGTGCTGGTGTGTGTCTGAACACCCTTACAACCTGCTTTTCCCTTTATAATCTGCAGTGATCCTCTGTTTTTCCTTAGCCTCTGAAGGGAGGGCTTGCCTGTGCTCGCTCTTGCCTCGTGTGTGCAGACTGAATACAGGCTGATTTCATCCACCATTTATCAGAAACGAGGCACCTTTTCCATCCTCCTCTTTGCTTCTCTCTCTCTCCCACCTTCTCTCCCTCTCACTAACATGCTCTGTCTGCCTCTCCTTTTGTAGCAGATGTGGATGGCAATCTCCCTTGGATTCCCACTGTGCCCCCCAGCGAAGTGACAGTGACAGACATCACGGCAAACTCCATTACCGTCACTTTCAGAGAAGCACAAGTGGCTGAGGGCTTCTTCCGAGACCGGAGTGCGCAGTTCTGAATCTCCATTTTCAGTGCTCCCCAAATCTAGTGCTTTTAGAGTGGGGCTAGGGAGGGCTTATTTTATCCCTTAAGAAGAAAAAAAAAAAATCCAAAATGTCTCAGAATGTTTACAGAGACCTTTTTTTCTTCTCCTTTTTTCCCCTTTCAGATACGCAAAAAAAAAAAAAAGAAAAAAAAAAAAAAAGGCAGCATAGGGGGTGTGTTTGTCATTGCTTTGTCCATCTGAAAAGCTGACAGCCCTTTCCCTGGCAAAGACTCCCCTCCTAGATGTCGAAGCAGCAAGCTGAACAATTTGGCTTTTATGCTGCTAAGTGGCAGCAGCTGCATTTGTGGGGAGAGGGCATGTGGAGGTGGAAAGAGAGCTAGGTCTCTAGCCTGCTGCCTTGTTCTGCAATTGATATCCCTTGGATAAAGATACTTCTCTATGCGTTGCTCTTCCCACCTTCCTCCTCCCTCTCTTCATGCAGCACTGAGAGACGATGGATCCTACCTGTGTAGATCACTCCAGCCTCTTAAGACTTTCTCTCCAGTGCTGTTTTCCCTGGGGCCTGCTGTCAGGACTTCAGAACCGTATTTGCCTGTCTGTGGTAAGTAAGGCTGTGCAGCACAGCAGGTCCATGTAGACAGCAGAGGTTTCTCTGATTGTTGGTCATACAGAAAAGACTGAAACACGTGTCTGAAAAATAAATTGGCTAACTAAATTCATTATGCCCTTGTGAAAAGCCCAGAAACCCAGCATAGTGGAGGCATACCACTCTGTCTATGCTAAACAATATTTCCAGGCTTGTCTATGCTGTGTGAGAAATATGTTATGGAAAGTGGGGTGTTCCTATCTTCTGCCAAATCCTGGCTTAATGACAGATGCTGCCCTGAGTCTGTGATGATAGTTGGTTGAAATCTGACTCTCCTTCCCTGGAAGGAGGGGCCGGTAGGACAACTGAAGCATTGCCTGGCACTGCAAAGATATTCAGTATACTGGCGCAGGCCCAGGACACAGGAATTGGACAGAACTGAGCTAGAAATGGACCTTGATTAGTGGCAAATTCTGTTCTTGGATGCCATTGGGAGATCCAAGGTAAACAACATGCGGAGAAGGCATGCATTAGAGTAGAAGGGGGTGGGGTGGGGGTGGGAGAATCGTAATTCTTAGCAAGGAGAATGCTTGGATTGTACTGTCTGAGTAATGTTCTTCCGTGACTCCAGTCTCCTCACAGTATCTGTGATCCTGTACTTCTTTACTGATGGAAACTTCCCCTTGGAAGGCTTAAAACTTTGCCAAGGAAAGTGGTCTGCATTTCAATAGACCCTGCCTGATCTTGCACTTAAATGCCTCATGCTGGACTGCCTGTGATGCTTTGAGGTATTTGAAGAAATGCTGTATTTTGAGTTGGTAGTTTAGCATAGCATCTGTTCCTGCACATGCATATTCCCTTCCATTTTCTTGAAATCAAATTTTATTTAAGTAATTTAAAATTTTAAATACAAACATTTTCCTATGGAAAGCACGAAAAGTAAGCTACAGTCTGAGGTGGGAACTTCCAGAGAGAGCTGCAGGAGTATGCTGGCTGTCATGATTTCCATCCTTAACTTCTTTGTTCCCTCTTCCCATTCCACACAAAGCATTTCTTTCCTGCTATATTTATTCTGTGTGAAACTATGAGCCTTCTGAGCTCTGAGGTATAGGCTCTGTGGAATTGGGCAGTGTTCAGCAGTTCCTTTGAAGGGTTTTGCCTGCTGACCTTCAGAGTTTGGGAGCTCTGGGACTTCTGGTCATCCAAACATCTGCTTCTTGCAAAATGCTTGGGCTGCCCCCTGAAGCTTTTATTAAAAGCAGATTTTACCTCTTATAGGACGTGACAGGTCAGTGCAGACTTAAGATTTCCCCTTCTATCTCAAAGCTGTGTGAGTAGGCCAGTCTTCTGCTGTGTCGCTGCAGTTTCAGGACCACAGGGAAGACCCTGAATTTCAGAACTAATCTTTTGTCTCCCAAATAAGCAACGTGGAAGTTTAATTATGGAGAAATTAGAGAGGGTGAGAAGTGAAAAATAAGCAGGAAAGAAGCTTGGAACAGCAAGGGCAGACTGATGAGGGAATTATACAGGCCTAGGATGTTTGTTGAATGTGGGTGTCTGGAGTAAGGCTTCCAAATCTGGAATTGTATCACATAAACAGGTTTGCTCTCCTCTGCAGTGTGTGAGGTTGTGCAGTATCACTCACACTGTCACCCCCCCACACGCACACACATCCCCCTCTTCCTGATATTTGCCAAACAGGCAGAAAACATTTATCTTTTTTCTTACTGTGACCTGTGAGCATTTAGTATGGCTGAGTCTGCTCACTGGGGTTGCAGTAGGTCAGGTAGTCACAGTTAGAGAAGCACAATATTTTAGCTAGTTTGGGGCAAATTCTTGAATTCCAGCTCACCCTGCTGAATCTTCATGGCATTTATGGGATCTGTTTTCTTTAATGCAGCTACTGCTACCATCACATTGTACAAGTACACCAAAATCCTTCCTACTTATTTAAGTTCCAGTCATCAGCTGACATTGGAAGCAGTACCAATCCCATGGCAGGAAGGAACTTGTCATAGTAAGCCAGTTCTTTTCTTCCACTCACCAGCTGAGACTTCTCAGTGTTTTGTTTTGGCATTTCTCTTTAAACATCTTTTCTTTCTCCTGCAGTAGAGGTTTTCAAAAAACCTGTGGTACTCTTTCAGAGAGGATACATCCACAGCTTCATCTCTTAATCATGCCTAGATTAGGTTAGCTTGTGTTTTTTGCAGTGACTAATCACCTGACTACATGGAGTGTTGAACAAGGTACCTGGCTCCCATGCTGCTTTATGTACAGGTCAGTTAGGAGTTAGGGACCAGGTTAAGGTGCAGCACATTGCTTGTGCATGGGTTTGGTTTGTGTGTGTGAGGAGGAGTCTGTGGTAGGAAACTGAGCAGTTACTGTAGGGTTGATTTCATTTTGTTGTGTTTCTTTTGTTTTGCTATTGGGATTTTTTTTTTTTTACATTCACAAATGCAGTGTTAAAAATCCATTAAAGATTTTTCTTTTGGTCTTTCTAACACATTTCCAGTGTCTGGCAACATATCATTGTAGACTTCCTTAGTGGAGCTGGTCTTCAGGGACTTCAAAATTAACGTCAGTCCACGTCTGCAGATATAGAGATGCATGGGGCTTTTGTACTTTAGATAGCAGCAGGGCTCCTCTGGGTTCACTTTTCTCCCGTATCCCATCCATCTTTAGGTTCAATCCCAAAATCTGGATATTGAGCTGGAACTTCTAGAGCTAACATACGAAAATTGGATGCTGTGCTCACAGTTTTGTTACACATTCCATTTGATTAGGAGAGCCAGAATAGCATCCAGCTGAAGCAGAGTTTAATAACTCTATTCAAAGCACAAGCTGAGAATAGAAATGGGCTAACTCTCCCATACCTCATTTGGCTCTATGGCTGTAAACAAGAAAAACAAACTTCAGCCAGTAGAACTTAGTGAACTGTGCACGAGAAACAAACCTCTCAAGGAAGAACTCTTCTAACGGTTGTTCTTCAGAACTGTTCCAGTGGGAGAATGACCAGCTGTGTTTAGGAGGCAGAAGTTTCTCTTTCATAAATCTTCTCACAGTAACTTCACTGTGTGACAGGACCGAGGGGCTTCGTGAGATTAGAAAACCTTTGTTAACACTGGTTTAAAAACGATTGGAAAGGTGCCTCTGTTCCTGGCTGGTTACAAAGTAGATGTTGTTGCTCAGATATGTAAGCGATGCCTTGGAACAGCAAGTTTTAGCACGTAAATAGTGGCATTAAGTAGCCTTGTAGCTCCTGCATGCTCCCTTATTGTCTTGCCTTTGCTTGGGGGCCCTTTTGCTTGTGAAGTCAGACCGAGGTATTTATTTTATTTTCTCTTTCTTTCTCAAGCACAGCCAGGGTATTATTATGAGAACACCCAGATGCCATTCTGTTGTCCAAAATAAGCTTAAATTTGTTGGTGAACTGACCCTTACTTATGTCAGAGCCTCATACAGCAAGAAGCTTATTGAGAAAGGAATGGCTCTTTTTGTTGTTGTTGTTAGTGTTGTGAAACTATCCAGAATTGTTCTCTCGGTGTTTTGTGACTGAATGTATAAAATTGTTTGTTTGCCTCACAGGGTGCTGGTGGCCCCAGTGCTGTTTCCTGCTCTGTGGCAGCCAGTGTTGTTTGATGATTTCACTGGAATAGAGAGGGGAGGCCTCGCATAGGTCAGAAAATAGGCAGGCTTAGCACATGTAAGACCTTCGGTGGTAGCCACAACAGAGGCTGGGGTGCGGAAGGCAGCAGTGAGAGCTGTTAGCCACATCCATGCATTTGAGCAAAGCTCAATCTGCGTTGCCTCCCCACCCCTTCCTCTCCTCTCAGGTTTTCTGAGGTAGGGAAAGTAGGGAAAACGACTCTTCCTAATGCTAAATGGTATCTGCTCCTCTTCAGCTCACCCCTTCCTTGCCTGCAGCCTGAGAAGAAGAGGGCTGTTGGACCTTCTAGGAAAAAAATTGTAGGGGTAGGAAGAGAGGGAAGGAGGGGCCTCAGGTTTGCTCTTGCTGGGTTGCGAAGGGCAGGCCTTTGGGTGAGCAACTGAGAGAGGAGATGCGATGTAAGAGCAAAGAACTTGTAATGAAACTCAAGGGCCAAAATTGTCGTGATTGTAAAAGAAATACTGAGATGATTAACCTGATTTTTTTTTTATTTTTATTTTTTTGTAATTGTTCGTTGAGGTGGGTGTTAACTGCCATCTGTCAGTTAATAGCAGCGAAATGAAAGCAGCCTGCTCCTTACAGGCCCTTTGTGCTTCTTGCTTGGTTGTGAATTTACCTTAGTCTCCAAGAAGAGTGGGAAAATCATATGATGGGGAAGGAGAAGAGACAAGTAGGGGATGAAATGAGGCCACGTTCAGCCACTGTTCTAATGCAGTGCCTTCTGCTCCGAAACCTGTGATCCCTCACATCAGCTCTGGTGTGTCAGTGCTTCAGAGCAGTCAGTGGGTGGATGGCCCTCTGAGCAGGCCATGCAGAGAGGAGGTGCTGTGTTCGTGTCTCTCTTTTATCATTTGGAAAGGAAGGGAGGTGCATGCTGACAGCTTACGTGAGGTAATTTCTGCATGGAAGTATATAGCATTAGCATATACAAGTGAAGGGAGCATGTCTCTTTCACTGTTCTCAAAATAATTGTCCCCAGGGGTATAGTAAACTTGATCTTGAGACAGCAGGTTATGATAAAAAGGCCCACTGAGTCTGACTGCAGTGGAGCTGTCTTTGCAGAGACAGCATGGACCTTCTGGGTGTTGAACCACCCATGTTCCAACCAAGCAACTGGGCACGCCTATGAAACTGTTGAAGAGAGAAGCAATCACTTGGAATGCAACTCAGACTTCTCAAATACTTTCCTGCAACAGGTACTTCCTGAATTTGATAATCCTTCTCTTTCCTCTTCCAGCTCTCTTCCCTTGTACCATTAAGCTCTTAAAGTACAATGGCTTATTAGGGAGTGTGGGCCAAGGGTGATCCCCAGCTAACGGTGTTGTGTGCAGAGGAGAGGAGTTCAGGGGGAGTTTGTAATGGGTGTTAGGCCCGAGAAGGATGCCTACCAAGAGAGTGTGGGTAGAAACTTTGCTGCTGGAACTGTTTCTGTTTGCTGTGGGACACGCTGCAAACCCTTCAGGGGTTCTTCTGAAACACACCCTGGTGATGTCTGAGAGCACCAATTGAATATTGAAGGAGAGAGCTTGTAAGAGTGTTCAGAACCTCTATCAGCTTATCTCATTACTGGGATAGCAGTTTTGACTGGGAGGGGGATTTCAGAGGAAGTGGAAAGACTTGGTTTTATTTTATTTTTAACCAGAAAGCGTAGTGTCAGCACAAAGAAGCTCTTTGCAAGTCTGTCAAGACGTTAAGCAGCTTTTTTTTTTGCTTTTAGTCTGAAGCATGTTTTGAAGCACTTTGAAAATGCAAAGCACTAGGAGTGCAAAGTACTCCTTGTCGTCTGCCTGAAAGTGGCGTTTGAAAAACATTTTAAAAGCGTTTGAAAAGATGTATCTATTTCAGGTCGGTAGCTGTCCCTTGTTATTTTTCCAGAGTTCCCACCCAGCCCTTAGCCTCCCTCCCATGGCTGAGGGGAGAGTTTCCTCAGCCCTGCTGAGTGGAAGAGGCTAACCAAGGAGGGGGAGGCTCACAGTGCCCTGTGTGCTGGCTTCCTCCCCACCACCTCCTTTATCTGAGATGAGGAAGAAGAGGAGGAAGTTCAGTTGCAGTGGTCCTAGTCTGGAACTGACTGCATCTTTTAGCTCTGGAGACATCTTTATATCTGGCCTGAAGAATTGCACCTTATGAGTCTGGCTGAGGAATGGGGAGGCACCTGTCCTCTTGCAGGTGGTGTGGAAAGGAGGGAAGGGTGAGCCAGAAGCTGTCTTCAGTAGATGCTGGATTTTTCTGGAGGCTGTTTCCTCACCTTATCTCCAACATAACAGCAACCAAATAACTGAATTCATCCAAATGAAGCTTTTATTCTTTATATCTAAAGAGCCTTTTGAGCAGGCTAAGATGAGAGGCTCTTCTTTCTTGCTTAGCATGCTCTACAGTCAAAGGAACCTTAGTTCTTTCCTGGGGTCTTTGGCTCCAGCCTTCCCCTTAGCTTAGACACACCATTTGGACTCTTTGCACACTGACTCATCTAATGTGATCTGCTTCCCTTCTGCTGGGGGGCAGAAGATGGGGTCTACTGGGAGAAGAGGGTCCCTGGTTCTTGTTCATGTCTCTTCAGCTGTTGTTTCTGTCAGCACGCTAGAGTATGAGAGTCTTTGCACACAGAAAGCTTTCTTTTGCACAGAATGAGCTTCTAGCTTTTGTACAGACTAATTGAATGTATTTGGGGGGGTTGGGAGGGAGGGAAAAGGCCGCAAACCAATTCCACATGAACCAATCAGAGTATCATGCCTTGTCTGAGCGAGCGTGGGTCGTAAGCAGAGGTTGTAATGGCAAAGGGAGGGCAGGCTCAAGTATAATTTGACACAAAGTGTGGTTTTATTTTTGTACTGATACGGATAAGAGACTGTACAGCATCTATTTATTTAGATGATTTATGTGGTAAATGTTGCAAACAAAATTATGAAAATATTAAATATGAGAACTGACATTTACCTAATGGTCTGTCTGTGTGGTTATTTACCTCCTTTTCCTTTAATTTAACGGCTGAATTGTTTCTCCTTAGTTGCTCCTGTTGGTATAAACATGCAGCGTGGTTGGAAAAAGAATGAAAAAAGGCCCGTGCGTGAGAACGACCAGTAAAAAAAAAAAGGTTTGTGAAGTACAGAGCGTGCAAAATGCTGTTTCTGGCATTACTCATTACTTCAATTCAAGGAGGTTAGGTTTTTATTAATTTTTAACCACTGGGTAAGTTAGAGCTATACAGGGGTGACCCAGGACAGCTGGTCTTTGATGGATCCGAGTTGGAGAAAGAGAGTGCTGCTCACGGGATGGCTGCTGCTCTGGGTTCATTAGATCTGCCAACAGCAGCTGGAGGAGAGCACGGCCATCGCCTGCATCCCACATCTCCTGGGAACGGCACAGCTTGGGCTGCTGCTCTTGATGCCGTGGGGCTTCCAGGGAGCTCTTCAAGAGCCCAGCAGCTCTCGGTTGGCGAGGTGGAGTTGGGCCCTGGATTTATTTCAGGTAGCTTGGAGTGAGGCAGTCATGCCAGTCAGCTGGCTTTGCCCACATTAACAAAATGCATCCAGCCTGCCTGTGATGAGCTGGTGGGGCTGGGCCTGACCGCTGGCATGGGTGCAGGCCTGCAGCCAGCCGCTTGTTTTGCTGGCAGCAGCTTGGGAATCAGGTGAAGGAGTAAGAAGCTGCAGTGCAGCATTACGGGAAAGCCTGCTCCAGAGACTTCCTTCCTACCCCTGCCAGTGCTGCAGCGGCTGGCTGGCACTCTGTGCCCAGTGCTTGTCCTTCCACATGCGTGTGCTGGCTGGAGTAAAGGTTGATCTGGATAGCTTATTTTTTAAATAGTCTGTTGCTGTGCTGCCTCTCAGACCCATGCAGGGTAACCTGATGGGATGCCTGAGAGCAGGGCATGCTCCTCAAGGAAGTGGCTTTGGAAGGAGGGATGCTGGAAGTGTGGGGGTGCTGCCGCAACCTGGGCCTGCCTGTGGAACTCGTAGGAAAGCTCTGGGGATACCGTGGGTACCGCTTAGGCTGGAGGGGTGGTGCAGGCTATTGCTTGGCCCACGGCTGCTGCAGGAGGAGGCACATCTTGCAGGGTTCAGCCTTGCTGCTGGGCAGCCTCGCTGCGGTGGTGTCAGTGTCGAAATGCAGCGTCTGCTCGGGAACGCTCGCAGCCCGGCTCTCGGACGGGCGCTAAGTACATTGACGCCTTAGGCGTTAATGAACGCTTAAATGAGCCAATCTCCGAAGGCTGCGCGGACTTTTCCAGCCGAGCCCCGCTCCCGCTTTGCTGCGGCCCCTTTAAGGGCCTTCCTCCCCCTCTCCTCCCCCCCCCCCGCACCATATTGAGGAAGGGGAGGGAATGGGGGGGAGAGGGTCACGCGCGGGCGCGGGCGCGCGCGAGCCGGCGGGGGGGCGGGGCGGGGCGGGGCGCGCGGGATTATTATGGGCTGCGGGCGCCGCCGCCGAGGCGCACAAGATGGAGCTGTCTGCAGTGGGGGAGCGCGTCTTCGCCGCCGAGTCCATCATCAAGCGGCGCATCCGAAAGGGGGGGGGGGGCGGCCGGCCCGGCCCGGGGGGGGTTGGGGGTGGGGGGGGGGTGAAGTCCTCGCCTCAACCTCCCGTCTCACCCCCGCGTCTCCTCCGTGTGTTTTGCAGGGCCGCATCGAGTACCTGGTGAAATGGAAGGGCTGGGCCATCAAGTGAGTGCGGGGCGACGGGTTGGGGGGGTGCGGGGGACCGCGGGGAGGTGAGCTCCGCTCTGACCCGCGTCGCGGTGCCGCCCGGCAGGTACAGCACCTGGGAGCCCGAGGAGAACATCCTGGACTCCCGCCTCATCGCCGCCTTCGAGCAGAAGTGAGTGAGCGAGCGAGCGGGCGGTGGGGGGCTGCGGGAAGGGCCCCCCCGGGACGGCCGTAACCCTTGGCTTTGCCTCCCCGCAGGGAGCGCGAGCGGGAGCTGTACGGGCCCAAGAAGAGAGGACCGAAGCCCAAAACTTTTCTGCTGAAGGTAACTCTTATTTACATCCCTCTGGCCTAGCGTGGCGCATCCAGCCCCTCACCGTGCCCTCGGTGCTTGGCCTGAGCCGGGGGCGGCGGGGCCCCCTCACGGCCTCTCCCCTCGTGGCCCCTTCTCTTCCCTTAGCACGCTGTTCCCCACACCCCGCTCGCTGTGGGAGCTCCCATCTGTGAGCTGCAGGCACTGGGGAAGGAGCGGTGCTTTGGTGCCCCAGTAGACCCCTCGCCGTCATCCCAGCCTGCTTGCAGCGACTGTAGTCCCAGTGCAGCCCTGACCCCTCGATTTTACTCTTTTTTTTTTTTTTTTTTTTAACTAAGAAATGTGTTAGCTGGGGGGAGTGCTGTGGGTGTGTTAGCCCAAAGGCAGAGCTGCATGCTTTGCTCCCTTCTCCTTCCACGAGCATTGCGGTTCAGACAAACTCGGACAACGCACCTCAGTGTGACTGAGGCAGGTAAGGGAGATCATAGTTTCGATCCCATATGAAGCCCTGGAACATCTGTGCAGTGAGGTATCTCCATCACCAGCTCTGTCTGGAGCTCACAGCAAGTCCTCACCCCTCTGCATGTTTTCCCGGTGGGTTAACGCTCCCCTCTGCCTGGCAGCAGCAGGAGTTTCGCTCCGGTTAGCCTAGTGCTTGGACTGAGTGAGAGGGGTAGGATGTCGTCTCTGCTTCCTGAAACAAATGGGGGAAAGGTAGGAATGGGCGCATGCTGATGCCCTGAGCAAAACTCAGGGGACACGGTAATCCCCTGAAAGTCCCTCCTTCGATGTCCTCCGCCTGTTTTTCTGCTAACAGCTTTCTGCATCTGCAACCTGAAAGCTACAAACGCAACTGATGGGTGCCACCTCGTAATCTTTGTGCAGGGAAGCTGGGCTATGTGGTTTTTCTGGCAGTCATGCATTAAGTGAAACCCTGGTGTTTAGGTTTCCAACAATGCAAAGGAAAGCTGAAAGGGAAACCACCGCCTTAAAATAGTTCTCCACTTGAATTAAAAAGCGCTGGGATTTGTAACACCTGACATCGTTCAGCAGTAGGGAAGTGTTGTCTTTGTTTATTCTGTGCTTTTGACACTACTGTGTATAATCAGTTTCTTTTCTTTTGATTCTGAGTGGAGTGTGGAAAAATCTATCGCCAATTTTTCATTCGCATTCGCACAACAACAAAATCCATTACAAAAAAGAGAAAAAGCAAGAAAAAAACAAAACCTTGTTCCTCCTCTTCTCCCTTTGCTCTTTAAACCCCTCTAAACTTGGAACCTGAATTATTCAACAGCATCCTTTGAATCACATCCCTGACAAGTTCCTGCGGCACATCTTCCTTCTGCCAGCTTCTCAAACATTACCCAAAACCTGTAGGTTTGTGCAGCTGGTGCAGTGCTCTGAGGAGGGTGGAGCTGTCAGGAAGGTGCCTGGCTGAGGGAAGCATAGATCAAGCAGAGCCCTGGTACTCTCTTTCCAGAGTGGGGACAGAGCTGGTTCAACTGCTGGTGTTCCACTTGCTGCTTTTTGCTACTCCAGAACCTGCCCTAAAAATAACGCCCTGGGGCAGGCAGCAGGAGGTAACTCAATCTCTGCCAGCCCTATCTCAGCTTCTCTGAGCTCTGTTCAGGCAAATTGCAAGCAGCATGGCTGCCACCAGAATGGTTGAGACCAATGTGCATCTTGATCAACAATTCTGACCTGCTGAAGGTTGGCCTTTGCCAACCCCACAGCACTGCTCTGCCTCATGCGTCGCTGACAGCGTTTTTGGTTCTCAGCTTCCAGTGAGAATTTCAGAAGCAGGGGAAGAAATTTGACTCTTGCATCCCAGAGGGAGTCTTTGAAGTTGGCAGTAAGAACAATATTCTTTTTGATCTGCTAGCTGAACAGATTAGGCCTGGTGAAATGACGTTGAAGTGGGAGCCTGGCCTAGGGCTGCCTTGGTAGCCTGCCTGCCCTCGGCTTGGTGGCTTGCTAGGATCTCCCATATGTGACAGGGCTTAAACTTGGGCTTCTGAGTCTCCAGTAAGGCATGGAAATAAGTGCTCCCACGTGTCACCATTCCCTAGCCTGGGGGTGTTTCGATTTGCAGATGGGGATAGGTTTATCCAGGGATTAGCTGTCAAAAGCTGCAGATAGGCACCCGGGGGGATTTACAGAACGCATTCCAGCAGGTTAGAGGCCCGCGCCTTTGGAAGAGCTTTGAAAAGCTACATCTTCAGCCACCTGCTGCCTTTGTGAACTAGGCTACTGTTGCTGAAAGCTGCCTAACACTTGCCCTTTCCATCAGGCTGCTGAGGGCAGTCACAGGCCGGGCGTTGTGATATCGCTATCAAGATGGCCGGCATTGCAAGAAACCCCTTCAAACCTCAGCTGCAGAATTTGGGGGCAGGAAATGGGACTTGATCCTCTGCATGCTAGGGGCAAACTTTCCCACAGCTGACTGAGCTCAGGCTTGGCGGGAGGCTGTCATTCTTGGGAGGCTCCTGGTATGCCGTAAGCTTTGTGCTGAGCACTCGGAACGGGCAGCGCTGCACACGAGGCTCTTGCTGCAGTGCTTAGATGTCTGCAGAAGGTTTCCTTGAGGACAGCTTGTGCAAGGTTAGAAAGCAATATCGACCTGTCATGTACACTGTAGTGATCTTCCTCTCTCCCTCTGCTTGGTTTGCTCTTTATGTTTTGCTTTTCCCTCGGCACTCCGCTGCGAGGAACGCAAAGCTCACCCACTAATCTAATAAAGTGTAGTGAGTGCTATTAAGAGACAGAGCCCAGTCTCCAGGCTCAGTGGGTGGCTAGCAAAGGCTCCTCCTCGGGATGGCTGCAGATACACGAAAGGAAAAAAAGGCTGGAGAAGGTTAATGGAGGGATAGGTAACAGAGCAGAGTGAGAGGGGACGTAGGGGCAGAGCAGCGTGTTGTTCTGTCACTTCGCCCTTCCTTGAACTCTGAAGCTGGAGTTGGGTTTCTTTTGATCTCCTCCCTGTTCGTAAATTATCCCCGGGCGGTTTGAAAACAGTCTGTTCCCCTTTGTGGCATTTTGTTCCCCTATCCAGTAGGGAAGCTGTAGTTTATGGCGGTGTTGCTCGGGAGAGCTGTGCTATGAACTGGCTTGCCATTGCCTTGTCACTTGGAAGGCTGCAGAAGAAAAAGGGTAGTAAAAAGGCAGAATGGCAGCCAAAAAGGGGAAAGAAGAGCTGGTCGGAGCAAGGACTGTGGGAATGCAGGTGGAGAATAAAAGACAAAGCAGAACCAGTAATGTATGAGAGAGCGGCGCGACTATGGTGCAGCAGTGGTGCTGGAAATCACTTGATTCTGAAGTAATCAGCTAGAAATCTGCTGCTTTGCAAGGTCTTTTTTTCTTTTTTTAACCTCCCTTCCCCTTTCAGATTGCAAAGGTTTTGATACAAATCAGGTAAGCAAGCCTTCACAAAGCACGTGTCAGTGCATGTGCTTGTGTGCCTCAGTGCGTTCAGGGAATGAATGAACAAATATGCGTGCTGGGCCTCGAGGGACATTTATTCAGAAATAGTAGGGAACAAGGGAGATAATACTTGTTCCCAGAGGCAATGGGAAAGAGCTGCACAAGCTAAATAAAGGTGATACAGATCCCAAAAAGGGAGTGGGGGGAAGGGAAGCAGTTGCCTTGCTCCCGTGACAGAGCACTGCAGCAAGCCTCCAGAAGCTGCTCCTGATGTAGGCTGAGCTGTAAGCAGGCAGCAAATTACTTATGTACATGCTGAGTACTTCTTCGGTGGTGAGCAAATCCTGCGGGTGAGAACAGCAAAACCCCAAGAGGTAGCTTCCATTTGGAGAAGTTCTCAGCTGAGTAACTCGCTGGTGATGCAGCTGAAAGGATTAAACAGGTTTGGTTTTAAAGACTTTGTGCTCATGCAGCTCTTGAGCGTTTTAGTGTCGTGGGTCTGAAGCAGGGAGCTGCCAACCTGAATGCTGAGTCTTCTGCAACCCAAAGGTGCAAGTCGCTTAAAGTTGGAAGCCAGAGAAGGAAATGACTGAGCCCCGAAAACATGCTGTCCTCAGCAGGGAAGAGGCTCGAGTTTGTATAGCTGATGCCTGAATAAACCTGATCCTGTAGTAGGAACACTGATCTTTGCAAGTGAGATGATGGTGGGGGCTGGTCTTAGATAGAGCATCTTGATACTATTTTTCTTGAAACCTTACCTGGAAAAACAAGCTGAAGGTAAGTTGTGTATCTGCATATTGTTCATTGAAACCGGCACTGAAGCTGGTCGCTGGGGACAGCACCTGGGGAGGGCCTGCCTCACCTCACTGCTTAACAGCCTGGCCTCAGCAGTCCGTGGTTGGTGTAGGCTGCTCAGAAAGTACCAAAACTGGAATTTAACGAATGCGGGGAGGAACTGGAAACACAGACACACAGACAAACAAAGGAGACCCGGTGGTTCTGGCGCACTGGGAAGGTCCCAGCCATGTGCGTTGGTCTGTGCTAGCTGCTCTATAAGCACCAAACAAAGACAGGTCTCTTCGTCAAAGCAAGACAGGGGCTGATTAATGAGCACAGGCAGAGAATGTGGAGTCAGTGGGACTTCGGAAGTGGCTGAGCAGCAACTGTCCCAGCATTATCATTTTTTTTTTCCTTTCAGTTGTTGGGAAACTCTACCAAGGAATTCAGGGTGTAGAAAGCAACTGTGGTTGTTGGTAACTGCTTCCTTTAAGCTGGAGGGCCAGGGCAGACAGAATCATATCTAACTATTAATTTTCTGTACTGTTCAGGGCACGGAGTGATGTGTGAGGCTGAGTGGCACAGATGAAACTTTGGTTTGCATTTTCACATGTTACAGGGGACAGAGGCCTCTTGGTCACAGTCCTTTTTAAATCCAGGATGTACACAGCACTGCAGGGAACAACCTGATGTTAGCCAGGGAGGAACAAAATGTCTTCACATCCCTGTTCTCTGCTTGTTCAGGGTCTTCTGTGACTCTTGCTGGGCCCTCGGTGGGAGTCGAGGGGCAAAGGGCTCTGAGCTCATTGTGTGAAAGGAAAGGGCGCCCGGGCCCCTCGCTCAGATCTGTTAGATTGCTGTCTTGACAAGAACATTTTTTTCACCAGGCGTTCCTTCGGTAGGAGGCACAGCCTGCAGGGTGACAAAGGAGATGGTGTTGGAGTACTTAAGCTCTCAGCTGGCAGGCAGCCATCCCGATCTTGGCTGGTGCGAGGGGGCAATCGGAGAGAGAAGTCGGGGAAGAAAAGCAGCTGTCTGTAGCACTGCAATTCTTGTTGTGCCCACGAGGTGGAGGAAGCTACTTGCTAGCTGGGTAATGACGGGAGAGGGGGTTCATCCCAGCTCCAGGTGTGGGCTACTTCTGCTTCCAAGAACCAGTGAGAGGCATAGAGATGGGGTTTTGTTGGGGTGAGGAATGGTACGCGGGAGGCTGCATGAGGAGTGGGCTGTATGGTGTTCCAACGGACAAGGCAGTGCCTTGTTTGCACTGCAGGATAGGGATAGGCAACTTATTTGAAAACTCAGCTCCAGATCTCTGCGGTTCTTGCTCTTAGCTAAGACAGCTTTATGAGATCACCATCACCCACCTCCATGTTTCTCAAGACCCACATTCACCCTGTTTGGTGGAGCAGGCAAGTCTGGTTGTGGGAGCTACCTGGATGTAGTTCTCTTTGCCTTCCTCTTGTCTCATGCTCATTTCCAGAGCATGCGGGGCAGCTCCCCTCCCTTGGGACTAGTACTTAGTTTAGGATGCTAACTCAACAGAGGCCAAACAGTTAGTGCTGAGGATTACCAACTATTAGGAACCGTTGCTTGTAACATGGCTGGAGCCTGGCAGTTTTCTCTGCGGGGAAATACATGCCAACAGGGGGGTAATTAGCTGCACATAAAGAATCTGGATACTCTCCTTTGCTTGTACAGGGACTGTGCCACAGCTCCCAGCAATCCACGCTTGCAGACAGCACATACATTCCACCCCATCTCCCCATGCAGTCCTTAGCATGCTTGTTGCCACATGATGGTGGCATCTCTCCGCTGTCATCAGGCTGGGGATGAAACTGGGAGTTGGGTGCTGAAAGTGGGAGCTCACAGTGTTGGAGCTGACACTGAGAGCATGCAGGGGGAGTGATGAGCTGGCTCATCCCTTCTGTGGAGCAGACTCATAGGGGCACGTTGACTCACCAGCGGATTGAGTAGGAGGATGGTGTGGACTCGTGCTCGTCATTTATGTAGATATAGATGTGATATGGCATTTCCCTTCAGCGTGAGGCAAGCAGTGTTTGATCTGGGATTTGGCTGCACTTAGGCTACCTCTCTGACCCTGTTTTTGTCTCTCTCCCCACCACCGCAGGCTCGGGCCCAAGCGGAGGCCCTCCACATTGGGGATGTACACTTTTCTGTCAAGCCTGGTTCTAGCACCTCGTCTCCCAAGCTCCACTCCAGCGCCGCAGTGCACCGGCTCAAGAAAGACATCCGGAGATGCCATCGCATGTCCCGGCGTCCCCTGCCCCGTCCCGACCCCCAGAATGGTGGAAGCGTGGGGGGGGGGGGCTGGCATCCGTCCTCCCGTCTCACCCTTCTCGGAGACCGTCCGCATCATCAACCGTAAGGTGAAACCCCGTGAGCCCAAACGCAGCCGCATCATCCTCAACCTCAAAGTCATTGACAAAGGTGGGAAGCCAGCCAACGGGGCCGGGGCCCTGGCTCGACCCAAGATCCCTTCCCGAAACCGTGTCATCGGTAAGAGCAAAAAGTTCAGTGAGAGTGTCCTCCGCACTCAGATCCGCCACATGAAGTTCGGCGGCTTCTCGCTTTACAATAAGCCGTCTGCTGCGCCAGCCCCCTCTCTGGAGGGCAAGGGGGAGGCCGAAGGCTCCCAGGCGGCCTCCTGTGGGCTCATGATGGGCTCCACCCCGTACGATGCCCCCAGCTCCAGCTCCTCTGGCTGCCCGTCGCCCACGCCCCACTCCTCTTCTGACCCGGATGATTCTCCTCCGAAGCTGCTCCCCGAGACCCTCAGCCCGGCCATCCCCGACTGGCGCGAGTCAGAGGTCCTCGACCTCTCCATCCCACCTGAGTCAGCTGCCACCAGCAAGCGTTCTCCCCCTGGAGGCTGCAGCGGGGCGCAGACGCCCTCCTTGCCCCTTTCCTCTTCCGACCCAGAGCTGGAGGCCGGCGACTGGCGTCCCGAGATGTCCCCTTGCTCTAATGTGGTGGTCACGGATGTCACCAGCAACCTGCTCACGGTCACCATCAAGGAGTTCTGCAACGCGGAGGATTTTGAGAAGGTGGCGGCGGCGGGTGGTGGGGGAGGCGGCAGCAAGTGAGCCAGCCAGATCCCCCTGCTCCAGGGATGTGGGGGTTCTACCTGCGAGAAGTCGTGGTGTGAATGGCTGTCCTTGGTTCTCTCCTTCTCCCCTGCGCTGTCCCTCTGCCCTCACGGCCACCCTTCCTCCTCCCCCTCCTGCCCGATCCCTCTGGTGCAGAGGCCAGAGTGTTGCAGTGGGGGGAGTCAGGAGGCAGGGTGGGCCGTGGTTGTTTGTCCTTGAATGTGGTGGTGTCCAACTGGCAGCGGAGCCTTTGGGGTGAGCGTGTTTCTGTGTGCCTGCGGGGTGGCAGGGGGGCTGCACCTCCACCCCTTCCCCTTCCATCTTTGAGTGAAGAGGAGCTCCAGACCCTCAAGAGGTGGGTGGAAGGAGAGCTGGAGCCTACATCCCTGAGCCTTTTCCCACAAGGTGCACACAGTCTCTTCCATTCCTGTATTTTTCCCCTGCCGTGACCTGGATCCTACCGTCCTTGCCTTCCTTGGCCCGTGGCCTGGATCTGCCATCTCTGTGCTGCAGTGACAGATCCAGATGTCCCGCAAGGAGGAGAGGGGTGTGAGGTGAAGTGTCATAGCTGCAAGGTGCTCATGACAAAGCTGGGGTGGCTGAGAGAGCCCCACACAGCAAACATCCCATGGTGGCTTCTCTGTTCCTGCAACTATCGGTGCTACCTTGGCAGTTGTATGGTCACTTTTGGGCAGCCTGGTGTCTCCTCTTCCCCTGCATCTTCCAGCGTGCTCAGCTTTGCAGGTGGAATGGGAGAGAAGGGGAGCCTGCCTCCAGCCAAACCTTCCTCCTGGCATTTCATCACTTGCACTTGTTGGGGGAGAGGGAATCAAATACCCCTCTCCCCCTCCAGCCCTTCTGTGGTGGGAGTGGGAGCACCCGTCCTTCGGTCTGGGAGGAGATGGTGGTCTCCTGCCTCCTCAGCAAGCTTCCCCTGAACCTTTTTGCTCCCTCAGAGGGAAGGATGGGTGCTAAGTTGGGTGGCGTGCTCTACCCACTCCCTCTCATCTCTCCTGCTCCCCTCTCTCTGTCTAGGATGTCTTGGAAGGAGTGTTCCCCTCTGTTTTTCCAGGATCTGAAGTGGCCCCTTACAACTGCCATCAAAGGTGCTAACAAAAAATTGCTCTCACATCATAAGCACGCGTGCTGGCTCTCTCTGAGAGCACCTCTGGGTTGATACAGACATTCCTTCTCCTTGGCCCTTGCAAGTAGGAGCAAGGGAGATCACAGCTCTTTCCCTGATGCTCTTGTCATGCCCCAAACGAGCTCTCTCCTCTACCTGCCACTTCTGGCTTGCTTATCCTAAGCATCGTGGTGAGACGCCACTCCTTCCTCTCCCTTCTCCTCTACTTGCATGTGGTTGGGCTGTAGGGGCGAGGAAAAGATGCTGATGGATCAACCCGTGGGAGAGCCTCCCCTCCCAGCCCTGTCCCCACTGCTGGGCTTGGGGCAGGGGGGTTTTACTTCTACATCTGTGGTGCAGAGGTGGGAAAGGGTGGAGAGAATTCCCCACTCTGAGGCCTGCAGCTGTGCCCTGAGCGGGTGAACACGAGCGGAGCCGACCCTTTGGTGCTTCTGCATGAGGGACAGGGTGCTGGCAGCCGACTGCTCTGGCAGTGCTCCTGCCTGGAGCTGTCATTTTGTGGTCTGAGGGTAGCAGCGAGGTGGTCTGTGGGATAGAACTGGGGTGGCAGAAGGACCGACTGACCGCTGACTGTAATTAGAGCCTCTCTAATTGCAGCTCCTCAGTGGGTGCAGTGAATGCCTTGCTGCCTGCCCACAGGAATGCCTCGCAGCGGATGGGGTTTGTGTTGGGTTCAAAGGGGCTCCAGGTGCTGCGATCTCCACCCTTGGCACACCTCTTTGTTTCTCTTCCCTTGTTTTAAGAGCTCAGCAGGTGCTTTGGGGATGCGGCTGCATTCACAGCTGAAGTCAGGGGCAGGGAGAAAGAGACTTCCCTGATCCATTCACCCAAGCTAAGGCTTCCTATAACGTGTTGGACTCGTGTGCGTGTCTGTATTAATACCTGCCTGTATTCTTTGTGTTCTTACTTTTGCATCTTTCCTGTGCCTGGCACACCCAGGGTCCCTTATTTGAGCATAGCCTATCCACTGCTTCAAGGATGAGCAGTCCGTAGTTCAGGGGAAAAGCTCTTCCTTAGGGAATCAGCGAGGAGATGCTTCTCTTTTTTCCCCTTGTAAGCAACAACAACAAGAAACCACAACTATTTGGAGGCTACAGGATAAGAGGAGCTTTATGGGGTGGATGCAAACCGGCCTGTCACCTTAGGTTGTTCAGTTGCTGTTTGGTGTGTATGTGGTGATGTGTTTTGTTCTGTGATAATGAGGTTCTGAAACAAATCGGAGCGTTTAAGTGGGAGATAAAAGGGAACTTTAATAGGAAACTCTCGATGTGTTGTGGCCAAGGTGCGTTCGCTTGGCAGACTTCTTTTCTCCGGTGTCTCTTATATGGTGTTCTTTAGGGGCGGGGGGCAGGAACTGTGTAGTTGAAGGGGTTTTGCCTTTCTCCGGAGTGACAAGCAAAGGGGACCGTCTGAAGAGCACACAGTGGGTCATGGTAGGGGTGCTGTCGTGGCAGGGAAGCTCGTGCGGTACATGCTCTTTGCGGAGGAGGAAAGGAGTGCCATCCAGCTTGCAGACACAGCTCAACCGCCTGCGCGACGCATCGCTCCCCGGTTGCGTCGCCAGGTGGGAATCAAACCCTGAACCTCTGGATCTGGAACACAGATCCCCTGCTGCTTCCAGGTAGAGGCTGCTATCTGGAAGTCTCCAAGTGCCCTCGGGTGGACGCGCCGCTTGGGGCCGGCCAACCGACCTTCATATTCATGTGGGTTACGCTCTTCCTCCTCAGTTTTTGCCCTTGCTCTTTAATGGAGATGGGAAGGAAGATCCATCCGTTGCCCTTTGGAAAGGGCTTGAGGTTGAGGGGAGGAGTTCATTTGAAAGTATCCCCTTCCCTTCCCCGTACACCCTAGGAAAAAAAAAAAAAACAAAAACAGGGAGATATTCTCTGTGTCTGTGCCATGTTTGTTCTCTTGTCGTCGTGTTTTTAGAGGAGATTTTATGATGGAGTGGAAAAAGTGAAATGATTAGTTTTGCATAAAAAAAAAGAGAAAAGCTTAAAAAAAAAATTTCTACAGGGAGAGAGAGAGCGAGAGAGTTTAAAAATGAATAATAAATGCGGTGATTGCACAAACTGTAGCGGTATTAGGCGGTCCTTAGAGAAAAGAGTATTTTGTAGTATCGAAGCATGTGTGTCTGGGATGGTGTTTGGTTGCTTGACCCGGAGGGAAAGGCATCCTGGGACTGGCAGCGATCTCCGAGTGGAGAAGGCGAGTTGCGTGTTGGAGGAACCCCGTCTGTCTGCAGCCCCCTCTGCCCGCGCCTCCCACGTGTTGGAGTTCCCTTCCCTCCCATTCCTCTCCTGTGAGCTAAGGTGGAGTCTCCAAATGGTTTTTCTGGCCGAGCAGCCCTCAGCAGTGGCCGCTCCTGGCCCACCACGTGGAAACAGTTGACTTTCTTTGCATGCACGGCAAGCTGCTAAGATTCGGGGTCAGCATGTACCTTTCCTGCCAGATCGCCGCCTTTTCTCCCTTCCCCTTGTCAGAGCAGGATGTAGCACGGTGGGCTCATCTGGGAAGAGGATGCACCTCCCCTCCGTGGGGTCTTTTTAAACTGGGGCAGGGGAGGTTTAGGTTAGATGTTAGCAGGAAGTTTTTCACCCAGAGGGTGGTGATGCACTGGAACAGGCTGCCCAAGGAGGCTGTGGATGCCCCATCCCTGGAGGCATTGAAGGCCAGGCTGAATGTGGCTCTGGGCAGCCTGGTCTGCTGGTTGTCAACCCTGCACATAGCAGGGGGGTTGAAACTAGATGATCATTGTGATCCTTTTCAACCCAGGCCATTCTATGATTCTCCCAGTGTTGGGTAGGGAATGGCAGTTTTCTTGCAGGATTCACCACATCAGGTCAGAGAACCCAGCCCCATCCGCCTGTCCCATCCCTGACTGTCACCCGTCTTCAGGGCAGGTGAAGGAGCACTCAGGCTCTGCTGAGGTTGAGATGCACACCCTCTTCTCCAGGTTCTCTCTGGGGAGAGGAGGGCTCCAATGGGGTTTTGCGTGAGAGGACCACGTTCTTCCACTCCTGCTTCCTGGAGTTGTCCTAATATTGTCCTAACATTTCAAAGCAAGAGGTGTACCATGGTGCACTTGCTTCCCCATCTGAGATGGTCGTGCGTTCATCTGGTGTGGGGAGAAGGCAGCCACCCAGCTCCAGGGGACACTAGGACAGATTTTCTCACCTGGACTTCTCTTGGCTTAGCAGCGGTAGGCAATGGGCAAAGTGCTGCCTCCTGCAGCCTGTGCTGTTCCTGGGGATTTTCTCTTCTCTCTGAGCTCTGTCAGTGCTTCCCACAGCTTTCGACTTGGACCCGCCACCTCCTGGCTCATGCTTTTCTCGCTAAGCAGTGCGGGACCAGAGAGGTGTGCAGACAGAGATGCAAGCTCCTTCCAGCGTGGAAAACGAGCAGACTGTGGTGAGCCGCTATTGCGTTTTCAGCAGAGAAAAGGGAGCATTTCTCCACATCTCCCCTTTCTGAGATTCCCAGGGAGATTTATGAGATAATAATTGAAAGGCAAAATAGAACGCCACCAATCCTGCTCTTCACCAGGTAGGAGCTGTCTGTGAGCTGAGTCTTCCTAGGGATTCCACTCCCTTTCCCAGCCAGTCTCCACGAAAGGGGCTCCGGCAGCTCCTGGCACTCGGAGGTGGCCGCATCCCAATCCCTCCTGGTGGGGATGAGAATGTCTTCCCTGGGCTCTGCCCTGCTGAGGGACACTGCCCCAGGTCCCCGCACTCCTGCCTGCTGTGGGGCAGCGTGGGAGCAGATCCTTCCCCCAGGGAGGTGTAACAAGCCTGGAGCGCGTGCCTGGCTACGTGCTGATTTTCCCCTTCCCCACCTTCCAACAAGACCTTTCCTTCCTTGCCTGGCGCATCCTTTTACTCCAATGTCGCTTGCTTTTTGCTGCATCTTTCAATAGCCCAATAATCGTGCAAGAGCTGGGATCTTATTTACTTTTTTATATAGAAATCTATAAAAGAAATGCCCCCTTCCCTCTCCCCTACCCCCTTCTCCCCACCGCCCTCCTCTGCGCCGTGCTGCCGAGGGCTGGGTTTGGGGCTGGGCGTTAGGAGCCGCAGAGCTCTGCTGGGGGACAGAGGAGGGCTGAGCATGGCTTTGGAAGTGCCCTTCTCCGTGCTTCCTGCCCTAGGTGGCTCCAGCAAGCATCTCGATGCTGTGGGTTTGAGCAAATAAGTGGCTTTATTTTTAATTTTTTTTTTTAATTATTGTTTTTTGTAAGGTCCACCCCAGAGCACATGGTTTCTTTTTGGGAGGGACAGATGAGAGGAGACGCTGTCTCCATCCTTGCCTGCTCCCCCTTTGCTCATCCATCCGCCCCTCCATCCTCTGCTTTCCTTCTCACATAGGGTTCGGTCCCCATCTGTGCAGGGCTTGGGTTTCTCCCTTCCTGCAGCTTTCTCCTCCCAGCAGTGAGAGGTTCTGCCCCCAGCCCTTCCGGGAAGCACAGAGGCTCAGGCCATGCTTTTAAGCAGAACCCCTATTCCAGCATTGTTTTTCATTTGTTTTCTTTCTGCATAGATAGCCGCCCAGCGGTGACAAAGGACAGGGCCCTGCCTCATCCTTTTCTCCCTCTCACCCTCCCCAGTGCCAAGCATAGGCTGAAACTCCACAGATTCTGAGCTGTGGCAGCACTGGAGCCCTTTTCCTCCTCATAGAGAAGGTCAGAGCTGCTCCCAGAGCGCTGGGGGCTCCAGTGCAGCCCATCCATCTCCTTACCTCCCTCACTCAGCATACAGAGTGAAGGCGGTCATTTTTTTTTTTTTCGTTGTTGTTGTTTAATTTAAAACAAATATGTATCTTTTTTTTTAATTATTATTTTGGAGGAAAAAGAAAAACATATAAAAATTGTGCACGGATGAATTGTGTATCTATATCTCTCTCTCTTTTTCTTTTGTCTTGCGGTTTTCATTTTTCAATAGAGCGTTTGCCTTTGTTGTTTTCTGTTCCATCCAGTTCCCAGCTGGCTAAACTCTGAGTGGAGGGGGGGGGACACGGTGGGGGGCGATGGGATCGCCCCTGCCCAGCTGCCCCCACACGGAAGCGGTTGGCTCCAGGTTTGGGGTGGGGGTTGTGCTGATGACTCTTGTATTCTCTTGTACATTTTGTTCTTTCTGCTGCTCTTGAATATTGTATCGATGCCAGAAATGGGGAGTTAAAAAAAAATTTAAAAAAATTAAAAAAAAAATTAAAAAAAAAAAAAAGGAAAAAAAAAGACACACACACACACAAAAAAAAAAAATAATAATAACCCCAATAAATTGTTACATTCCAAAAGCTGCTGTTGTCTTACTGTAAGAAACACTGAATGTGCACAATCACAGCCCCAAAGCACCGTGTTGGGCTGGAGCCCATAGAAATGCACAGAGGATGCCAGGAGTTGAGTCGTTCCTGGAAGGGCCCTGCGGTGCATCCACAGCTCCGAGAGTGGCGGGGCAGCTCTCCAGCAGTGACGTGCCTTGGCTCAATGGCAGCAGGGAGCATTGCCCACCCAAACAGAATGTGGCCGAGGCTCAGTGCCACTTGTGTTGTGCTGTTGGGTTGGCCGTGTCTCCCTGTGCTACTGGCCAGTGGAGTGGCCAATAGAGCCATCTTTGGCCCACAGGTTGGGGCTGGACACAGCGATACCTCCAGTGAGGTTCTTCCTGAGCACACAGGCAGATCTGTACCAGTGGGGGGTGATGTAAGCCGTGTTGGTGGGAATGCGAGAGCTGGGAATAGAGGTCTGCATGTAGGATGGGCTGAAGGCTCCTGGCCTGGGCTGGGAGCACTGTGTTGGATCATCCCCTGGGTAAATCATATATAGAATCTATATATCGTACAGAACGGCCTGGGTTGAAAAGGGCCATAAAGATCATCCAGTTTCAACCCCCCTGCTATGTGCAGGGTCGACAACCACCAAACCAGGCTGCCCAGAGCCACATCCAGCCTGGCCCTGAATACCTCCAGGGATGGGGCATCCACAGCCTCTTTGGGCAACCTGTTCCAGTGTGTCACCACCTCTGGTTGAAAAACTTCCCCTTAAATCCCCAGCCTGAGGCCCCAACACCTTTTCCCATCCCACCTTAGGACCCACCCATGTTTTGGGGGTGCCTGCCCCCCAGAGGTGCCATTTGAGCACTAATTGCAGATGGTAAATCTGCCTGAACTGCTTGCTCCAGGCTGAAGGTTTCATTGCCACTGAGCACCAGGGCTGTGCCACGTGTATGTACCGTGGCTCCATGGAGAGGCTGGTTAGGTTAGGATTAGTGTTAGGAACCTTCTCATCCCAGTGTGGGGTTTGGAGCTGGGTGTGATGTAATTGAGCTGATCGCTTTCACCTCACTGCTCTTTTAGGATGAGAAGGAATGGCCTCAAGTTGCACCAGGGAAGGTTTGGGTTGGATCCTAGGGAAAACTCAGAAAGAGCAGTGCTGTAGTGGCAGAGCCTGCCCAGGGAGGTGGTGCACTCACCGTCCCTGGAGGTGTTCTAGAGCCGTGTGGATGTGGCACGGAGGGACGTGGTCAGTGGGCATGGCGGGGGTGGGCTGGCGGTTGGGCTGGGTGATCTTCATGGTCTTTTCTAGTCTTCATGGTTCTATGATCTTGATGCGCTGCGCTGTGCACTCGAGTACTAAGCAAGGAACAAGCAGGTGCCTGAGGTGCCTCATTCACATGACGGATGGAAAGAGTGGGCCGGCTGCACGCACCCGCTCCCCGAGCAGCCCCACATCTCCTTCCTGGACAGCCGCACGGCGCTTCGGACCGCGGGCAGCGCCGGCGCTGCCGTCCCCGTTCCCGGCGGAACGGTGGGGGCGGCCCGGCGGCGGCGGGGGCGGTGCGTGCGGCTCCGGCTGATATAAGCGCGGCGCGGCGGGGCCCGGCGCCGGTGCTGTTGCTGCCGGTAGCGTCCGTTTCTCCATCTGCTGCCAGTCCCTCCGTCCGTGCGTCCATCCATCCTTCCATCCTTCCATCCATCCTTCCTTCCATCCCTCCCTTCCTCCCTCCCTCCGTCCCCGTTTTGTTTTCTCGCCGTCCGCGGGCTCGGGCCCCCCACGCCGCTGCCACCCTGAAGTTTCTGGCGGTGCTGCTGGCGGCGGGCATGCTGGCTTTCCTGGGGGCCATCATCTGCATCATCGCCAGCGTCCACCCGGCGGGCACCGCCGCCCCCGCCGCTCCCACCGCCGCCGACAATGACTCGGCCGCCGCCGCGCTGCTCCCCGCCGCCGACAAGGGGTTGGGAGCGCTGCACGGCCCCGCCGAGGCTCTGGCCAGCGCCGGGCCTCGCCTCACGGGCTCGACGCCGCTGTTCAGCCGCTTCGTCTGCACTCCGCTGAGCGCCGAGTGCCCCGCGGCCGCCCCCGGCCCCGCCGCCGCCGGCCCCGAAGAGCTGCTGGCGCTGCGCAGCGCCGCGGCACAGCTGCGCCGCACGGCGCTGGAGCAGAAAGAGCGCATCCGCATGGACCAGGAGACCATCCGCGAGCTGACGGGCAAGCTGAGCCGCTGCGAGGGCGGCCTCCACGCCGCTCCCCCCGCTGCCGGGCTCCGCGCCGCCCCCCGGCCCGGCACCATGGGGCACCCCCCCGCCGAGCCGCCCGCCGTGCGAGAGCTGGAGGACGCCGTCCGCGCCCTGCAGGAGCGCATCGACCGGATCGAGGTGGGGAGGCCGGGGGAATCCCCCAAGCCCATCCCCCCAAAACCTGCTCTTTCCCCTCCCGATGTTCCCGCCACCCCTGGGGGGCTTTGGGAAGGTCTTCCTTGCCCCCCTTCCCGGCATCGCGGTCCCTGCTCAGGGGATGGGGGTCCCTCAGTGCTCGCCCTTTGCCTCCCGCCCATTCCCCCCATAGCGGGTGGCCCCAAACATCACTTCCTGACCAGCCGCTGCCCAATGTGGGAACCATGGACTGTGTCCAGATGCTGCCCTCCTGCTCAGCCCCATCATGGCCATAAAGCGGGGCTCCTTACAATGGAAAGTGTGAGCGTAGCCCCCCAACCCAGAGGAGTTGAAGAGTTGGGAAAGACCCCAACCCACACCTGCTCCCCTGAGCATCTCTACCATGGTGTCAGCCCATCCTGGGGTCAGTGTCCATTTGTCCATTCCTTGGGGTTAGGATGGGTTCAGTGGCCACACAAACCTGGTGGGGGTTCATGGTTACCTGGAGGCTGGCAGGGAGAAGTGTCCACGCTGGGGGAACGGATGCAGCGGGGTGAAGCAGGCAAGCTTCGGGCATGTGGAGGCTGCTTTTCTTGGGTTATTTCCCCCAGATTGCCATTGCTCCAGGGACAATGTGTTGACCTGGAGGTCAGTTGGGGCCACAGCCACCTGCCAGAAGTTTCACATCAACCTCAACCCCATCCCACCTGGTTCCCATTGCCATCCTGTTCCTGTCTATCAGCACAGTGGCACATTGAGAGCCAGTGCCCCATGAACTTCATTAACAACAGAGGGTTCAGGCAAGGAGATGGCAAAGGGTCATCCGTGCATCTGGGCCTCGTAAGGTATAAAGAGATTGAAATGGAGAGGTGTGGATGGAGGACACCTCCTTGGGGGGCGAGCCTGGCGGTGATGCTCTGGCTGTTGGCAGCAAAGTGATGGATATGGGTATGGACACCCAAACACTGACAGCTCCAAGCGAGACCCAAGGGTGATGGAGACGTGCTGCTGGATTGGCTCCTCCAAGGAAACCCCCGTCCCTTGTGGCGCAGTGGTGGGGGCACGGAGTGCTGTGCCAACAGGGGGCGGGCACACAAGAGGGGGAAGTGTCCAGCGATGGGCCCCACAGGGGGCACCTGTCCCCAGCCCTGCTCTCCCCACTTAGTTGAATGCCGGCACGGGGGGGGAGGGAAGCCACGAGGAGCAGATTTGCCAACGCATTAGTAAATGAAGGCTGTGATCCCCTTACATAAACGAAAGTGCATTGTGCCCAACAATGAGCACCGCCTGAGCCCCCCCGCGGCCGCTGACATTTCACGCGCTGAGCGCTACCTGGCAGCTTTCAATCTTTTCAGCAGCTCTGGTGGCCAACGTGTGCCATGCACCTCCCCCGCTCCCGCTGCCCACTCCCCAGCTGCCCGTGCTGTGGCGGCAGATGGGAGCCCTCCCCACATTGGTAAATAACAGCTGCACAGCTATAATTAAGTGTTTCGCAAAGAACTGGGGAGAAGAGTGCTTGGAGGTGCTTATGGAGATGCAGTGCAGGCTGGGAGCTGGGGGGCTGAGATGGTCCCGTGTCCCCACATCCCACTGGGGTGGTTAGCCTCAGGGATGGGGTGACTGGAGCTGCGGGTGCCACCTGCACTCTTCCCTCCTGGAGAGTCTTTGCTCTCTGCAAGAGCATCCCTAGACGAAGGTGGGTGCTGGAGCTGCCCCCCATGCACCTTCGCCATTGATTTTTGCTTTTCTCTTTGGTTTTCTTTGCAAAACCCATGGAGGGTTTTTGCCTTGGCTGTCCCTGCTAGAGGCTCTTTCAAAGCCCAGAGCTTTGCTGGCACTCGGCAGCATCTCTTCATTTCCAGCCTCAGCGTGCTCCCGCCTGGTCCGGGTCCATTTGTGCTCACGCCAACACCATCTCCTCGCTTCCTCTCCCTGCTACTTTCCCCTGCCGTTTCCATCCGTGGAGGCCACATCCTCCCTGCCCAAGCCTGGCTCAGCTACAGGGAGGTGTGGACAGGGCAGGGGAGTCACTGCCATCAGCCCTGGGAACTGGAGGTGTCCCCGAGTGCCACTGCTGACCCCATTCCTCTTGGCACACATCCTGGTAGCTGGGGCTTTGCCAGCAGATGGGTGATGCTGGCTTTACATTGAACGAGAGCTACCTGCTGACCTGGCACGTGTGCACGCACCCACGCACATGGGCTGAGCTGGGCTAAGAGGATTGCTCAGCCGTGCCACAACAGCAAGCGAGCAGCAGGGTGACCTGAGCTCCCAAAAGTCATTGAGAGCAACCAACGTGACCAACCCCATTTTGTACCAGAGGCTGATGGGACAAAGCCCTTGGGCAAGATCCTGGGTTGTGGTCCCGATGGTGTCATGGGTTGACGTGGTCCCTGTGGTCCACGTGGTGTCATGGGTTGACATATCACAATTTAACCTTCCATGCTGACATGATGTTGAATTTCACCCCACCGCCGAGCGCAGCAGGAGCTGCCATCCCGCCCCAACGGGTCAGCGCCCACCGCCCCAGCGCTCGCCCGCGATGCGCTGCACAGCAAGATGGAGCAGCTGGAGGAGCAGCTCCTGGCCAAGATCCTCGCCCTGCAGAAGGAGAGGCACGCCGCCAACACGGACCGCAGCCAGCAGCAGCATGACATCGAGAAGGAGCTCAGTGCCCTGCAGAACCGAGTGGCGGAGCTGGAGCACGGTGAGTGCTGCCCAAGGGGACAGAGGTGTGGGCTGACACTGAATCCAAGGGCAAACCTGGAGGAGCGCGGGATGGGCACCTTCACTCCTCACCCTTCTCTTCTCTCCTCCCATCTGTGGCATGCAGGAGCTCCAAGCTACAGCCCTCCTGATGCCTTCAAGGTGACTATCCCGGTGCAGAACAATTACATGTACGCCCGCATGAAGAAGAGCCTGCCGGAGCTCTATGCCTTCACCATCTGCATGTGGCTGAAGTCCAAGGCCTTGTCAGGGCTCGGCACCCCTTTCTCCTATTCTGTCCCCACCCAAGCCAACGAGATCGTGCTGCTTGAGTGGGGCAGCAACCCCCTGGAGCTGCTCATCAATGACAAGGTCAGCCCAGCCTTCCCACGCTCTCTACATCCCAGTTCTTGGAGGTTGATTCCCCATCTCTGGAGGTGCTCAAGGCCAGGTTGAAAGGGGCCCTGGGCAGCCTGATCTTGTGGCTGGCAGCCCTGCCCATGGCAAGGATTGGAAATGAATGGTCTTCAATGGCCATTCCAACCCAAAGCCAGTCTGTGATTCTGTGATCCTAAGTGAGTTCCGTGGGAGGTGGCATGGGGGACCACAAGGAGGAAGGGCATGGGGAGGACAGCTCTGCCTGGTGGGTCTTGATGGAGAGAAGCAACAGTTCTGAGTCCCTCAGTGTGATATGCTGGGGCCCATTGGCAGCCCCAGTGAGTTTCATTCTCTTGCTTTCTACCCACAGGTTGCCCAGCTGCCGCTGAGCCTGAAGGACAAAGCCTGGCACCACGTGTGTGTGGCATGGACCACTCGTGATGGCAAGTGGTCGGCGTATCAGGATGGTGAGCAGCGGGGCTCCGGTGAGAACCTGGCTTCCTGGCACGCCATCAAGCCACAGGGCGTCATCATCCTGGGCCAGGAGCAGGTACCTGCTGCAGCCTATAGGTTGCTATGGGTGTGAGCATTCCCAAACGGAGTTTGGGCAGAGGCAGCCCCAAATGGGGTCCGGGGTGGGGACTGTGGGGCTCAGATATGAGGGCTCTCTGCCTTCTCATCCAACACCCAGGTGGGTTTCTTGTCCTCAACATCTTTTCCTCTTCCCTTTCCTGTCCCTCTTCACCTTCACCTCCACGCGGATCCCTCCCTCTCCCCAACTCATCCCCTTGTCCCTGCTCTCCTCCCATCCCCAGGACACTCTGGGCGGCCGCTTCGATGCCACGCAGGCCTTTGTGGGGGAGCTGGCCCATTTTGCTGTTTGGGACCACATGCTGGCTCCAGCGGAGATCCTGGCCTTGGCCAACTGTACCTCGCACCTTCAAGGCAACGTCATCCAGTGGGACGACCAGGCTGTCGAGGTCTTTGGAGGGGCCAGCAAGGCAGCCTTCACTGCCTGCGACGAGGGGAGGAAGGCATGAACGACACTCAGCTCCAGGCTGCCCTTCCAACCCTCCCAGATCAACGAGACCCTCTCACCACCACCACCACCCTATGATGGGGCGATGTTCGAGGCCTTCAGGGGAGGTCCCACGGCAGCCCCTCGCTCCTCCTGCCTCTCACCTTGCCCTGTTTTGTTTTGGGCCCCGGGCACTGGGGATATGGGGGGGCTGGGAGTGGGACATCCCCTACACTTCTTTATTTTCATCGCCCTGACGTCTGGTTTTGTGAGCCTGCTCCCTCCGAGCCCTTCTTCTCCATCAGTCATTCTCCAGAATCGTCCTCCCCCCATAGGATGAAAAAAGTCCTGTGAGTGGGATCTATTTCTTTTATTTTAAGCCTTCCCTGTGCCACATAAGGCAGGGAAAGAGGGTCAGAGACTCATCCTCATGCACCCAGCCCTGGTCAGGGTGGAGGAAATGAAGCAAAAGTGAGGAAAAGGGGCACAGGGAGAGGTGTGCCCCATTGCCCCCCAGCCTTTTGGGGCTGAGCTACTTGCAGGGGTGCTGGCCTCACCCGTGCCTCGGCCCCTGCTTTGTGCTGGCTGGGGATGCTGGTGGCCTTGGAGAGTGCCTGAGGATGTGATGTTTCCTTGCTGGTGTCTCAGTATGTCTATGCCAGGGTTTTTTTGGGGGGAGGTCTCACGGTGTGATGTCCAGCTTCCAGCACTCCTCCAAGCCCAGCATGTCCCACTTTGCACCTCCTGCCCAGGGACCAGGGGGCAGAGGGGACAACCCACCAGGGTAGGGGGGATGCAGTGGGGATGCAGTGCAGCCTCTGTGCCGAGTGGGAAACACTGTGATCTTCATGCCACCCCTCCCACCCCCCCAGTCGCTCGCTTGTGCGTGGCCGTGTCGTGTTGGGACATTTCTTTTGTAACGCTGGCTGTGGGCAATAAACGTGGCGTGTCTGTCAGAGCCTCGTGGGGCTGCAAACCTGGTGGAAAAAGAAGGCAAAAATCCCTGTGGGGATATTGGGTGTATGCCTGGAGGAAGGCAGCAGAGCTCTGGGAGCTCAGGGCTGCAGGATGCTCTGCAGCTCTCACCTAAGGCTGCTCTCCTGGGGGCTTGGAGGCAATTGGGCTGAACGAGGGACGTGGAAAGGCTATAATTTACCCAGGCATTTTAAAGGCTTATGGCAAACTCCCCCGAATAAGGCTCTTAAGGAAATGAAGTCATTATGGAGAGATTAAAAACTAGTTAAGAGGCAGGAAATCAAGAATGGGAATAAATATTTGATTTCCATTCTCAGTGAGGGCTCAGCCCTGATGTTCTGTGGCTGCGTATTCTGTAACTGGGTGGAGAAGGAGAAGCAAGGTGTGGGTTTTGGTTATCTGTGCCCTATGAGAAGCAAAAACTGGTCATAGGGTTTAGGAAAGCAGCTGGGGAGATGGCAGGATGCGAAAAAATCGATGGGGTTGCAAAGAATAATTGCAGTGGCTTACAGATGCTGCTGGCTTCTAAATTAAGCAGAGCCACTGAGGAAAAGAGCTGTGCCTCTCTGAGGGCAGCATACTGGAAAACAATGCTTTGTGCACTAAGACAAGGGAAAATGAGATGGTTCTTAGGAGGGTTAATGAAGGAGAGGTGTAACAGCTGTGCTGAGAGCACACTATGGCCTGGCACCTCTTCCTAAAAGAGGGTTTAAAGCAAAGACATATTGGATGCTGACACTATTAATTATGAGGCTCTGAAGCCATTAATTACAAGGCTTGAGGAGGAAATGCCGTAATTCCCAAGCTGGGAGCTGGGCTGCAATGTGTCCCAGTGGGTGCCACCACGATGAGCCCACTTTGTCCTAACGATGGGGGGCTGCTCTAATTGCCTCCATGTCCTCCTGCAGGCAGGAAGGCTCAGCAGGGCTGTGCTGTGGTGACACACAGCTGGCTGTGTCCCCATTTCCCAGCCAATGATGGGCACTGCAATGCAACCTGATGCTGCCGTGCATCAGTGGCACGTTGTTGTTTTACCAGCACAGAGGTATGAATTCAGGCTTTGCTGAACAGTGCCAGGGTTTCCCATGGGGAACATTTCCCCTCCTCCCCCGGCTACCCTGGAACCACACTGATCAAAACCAAAGCACAATTAATTGCAGGCAACATCACGCAAACGCTCGCATACAACACACAGCCTCAGACAGAGCTCGCACCGACTCGCTGCTTCCCAGCAAAAGTGGGTGAACTACACAGGGATTAAAGCATTAAAAAAAGCACAGAAAGAATACGGTGCTTGAAAGCGCTGTATCCCCAGAGAGATTAGAGTAGCTGCCTGGAGATAGGGTAATGATGGAAAGATCTTCTTCCCAGAGATTCTGTTCCTAATTATCTCCTTTGCACACACACACACACATACAAAAAGGCTGATCTCCCAGCTTTTATCTTTCTCTCGATGGTTTTAGTGCCTCGTTGCAAGAGGCCCGTGCCTGCAAAGGAGAAAAAGGAAAAGGAATCGGCCCCAACTGCAGGAAGACTGCAACTGTCATGGAGGGAGGGGACTGGAGGCAGCATTTCATTTCTGTCACCGGCAGCAATGAAGGCAAAGGGAAGAGAAATGATCACTGCAACACTGTCCTCCCAGCGCTGTCAGGGCAATAGCAGCCCTGGGCTCTGCTTGGATGGATGGGTGTTGGGTGAGTAGGGCTGCCTTCGCTCTGCAGCTGCTGGGAGGACATTTCACATACACACCAACAGGATACCATGTGAACAATCTGGCCCTGGACATGTCCTGCATGACAAGGATGTGCCCTGATGGAGAGCCAGGCATCACTCTTGGTGACCTGGGAGTAGAAAGTGTGATCCCAGAGCTGTATTTTCCTTCACCTGTATTAATTTTAGACTGAGATTTTGGGCCCATGAGAACCTAATGACGTTCTGCAGGGTCAAATGCAAGGTGTTGCATCTGGGTCAGGGCAGATATGAGTATGAAGTGGGAGAAGAACTTGTTGAGAATAGCCCTGCAGAGAAGGACACAGGGGTGCTGGGGGATGAAAAGCTGAACATGAGCCAGCAGTGTGCCCAGGTGGCCAAGAAGGCCAACAGCATCCTGGCTTGTATCAGAAGTAGTGCAGCCAGCAGGAGCAGGAAGGTGACCGTATCTCTGTACTCAGCTCTGGTGAGGCTGCACCTTGAGTTCTGTGCTCAGTTCTGGGCCCCTGACTAAAGAAAGACATGGAGACCCTGGAGTGTGTCCAGAGAAGGGCAGCAGAGCTGTGAGGGGTCTGGAACACGAGTCTGATGGGGAGCGGCTGGAGGAACTGGGGATGTTCAGTCTGGAGAAGAGGAGCTCAGGGGAAACCTCATCACTCTATAGTGACTTGAAAGGAGGTGCTCTTTAACATCTTTATCAATGACATCAATGATGGAATCGAGTGCACCCTCAGCAAGTTTGCTGATGACACCAAGCTGAGTGATGCAGTTGACACGGTGGAAGGAAGGGATGCCATTCAGAGGGACCTCAACAAGCTTGAAAAGTTGGCCCGGGTGAACCTGATGAAGTTCAACACAGCAAAGTGCAAGGTTTTGCATTTGGGCTGGAGGAATCCCCGGTATCTATACAGACTGGAAGGAGCAGTCCTTGAGAGCAGCCGTGTGGAGAAGGACCTGGGGGTCTTAGGATCATAGAATCATAGAATCACCAAGGTTGGAAAAGACCTAAAAGATCACCCAGTCCAACCGTTCACCTGTTCCCAATAGCTCCCACTAAACCATGTCCCTCAACACAACATCCAGCCTTTCCTTGAACACCCCCAGGCTCGGTGACTCCACCACCTCCCTGGGCAGTCCATTCCAGTGCCTGACCACCCTTTCTGAAAAGTAATACTTCCTAATGTCCAGCCTGAATCTCCCCTGCCGTAGCTTGAAATCTTGATGGATGGTCTTGATGGATGAAAAGCTTAACATGAGCCAGCAGTGTGCTCTTGCAGCTCAGAAAGCAAATGGTATCCTGGGTTCCATCAGAAGAGGGGTGGCCAGCAGGGACAGGGAGGTGATTGTCCCCCTGTACTCTGTTCTTGTGAGGCCCCATCTGCAGTACCGTGCCCAGGTCTGGAGCCCTCAGTACAAGAAAGACAGGGAGCTGTTGGAGAGGGTCCAGAGGAGAGCCACCAAGATGATGAGGGGACTGGAGCACCTCCCCTATGAATACAGGCTGAGGGAGCTGGGCTTGTTCAGCCTGGAGAAAAAAAGGCTGAGGGGTGACCTCATGGCAGCCTTTCAGTACCTAAAAGGAGCCTACAAACAGGAGGGGAATCAACTCTTTGAAAGGGTTGATATGTGTAGGATGAAGGGAAATGGTTTTAAGTTGAGGGAGGGGAGATTTAAGTTGGATGTCAGGGGGAAGTTCTTTACAGAGAGTGGTGAGGTGCTGGAACAGGCTGCCCAGAGAGGCTGTGGATGCCCCATCCCTGGAGGTGTTCAAGGCCAGGTTGGATGGGGCCCTGGGCAGCCTGGTCTAGTATGAAATGGGGAGGTTGGTGTCCCTGCATGTGGCAGGGGGTTGGAGATTCATGATCCTTGAGGTCCCTTCCAACCGTGGCCATTCTGTGACTCTATGATTCTGTGAGGTCGTGATGAGGTGGAAGTAGGCCTCTGCTACAAGGTAACAGTGATAGGATGAGAAGGAATAGCTTCAAATTGCACGAGGGGAGGTTCAGGTTGGATATGAGGAAAGATTTATTCTCCATAAGAGCGGTGCTGCAGCGGCACAGGCTGCCCAGGAAGGTGGTGCAGTCACCATCCCCGGAGATGTTCCAGAGCCGTGTGGATGTGGCACTGAGGACATGGTCAGTGGGCATGGTGGGGGTGGGCTGGCGGTTGGGCTGGATCATTTATGCCTTTCCGACCCAAATGTGTCTGCGATCCTACTCAAAACTAAAGGCGGAACCACATCCCCAAACACGCTCCGCATTGAAGCCACTCCCCGCCCCCACCCCCAGGCGGTGGCTCAGCACAGGCACGCCGCAGACACCCCACGCCGCGCGGCCCAAGCCCCCTCCGCCAATAGGGTGAGCCGGGCGGCGCGCTGGCAGCCAATGGGCGGCGGGGAGGCGGGGCTTCCGGTGGCGGTTGCTAAGACAGCCGGGGCTCTTCCTTAGCAACCGGTGCGGGCCGCGGCGGCGGCGTAGGTGAGGCCGCGCTCCGCTCCCGGCCCTCTTTTCCTCCCTCCCGGCGCAGCTCTTCGGGCTCTGGGGCCACGCGGCCGGTGCTGTGGCGTGCTTTACCGAGCCGCCCCAGCCAGGCTGCCCTCAGACCAAGTGGGAGGGGAGGCACCTCGCTGTGAGCGAGAGAGCCGGGGCAGGCCGCAGGGGAAGGCTCGTAGTTGGCTGGGCTGCCGTGCCCAGGCTGTGGTTGGCTGATTTGCCTGAAGCAGCGGCCTGGTGCTTTCCTGCACGGGAATCCCCAGCTGACAGATACCTTGGGGGTGAGAATAGCGAGTGCCCCAACGAGGGCTGAGGTGTTCTGTTGAACACCGGATCCTGTTCCTCAAATACACGTGCACTTTGTGGTGTACCAGACCGGTCATGGTTGATGCCCTCTCGTTGCCTGTGGGAAGTGTTGCCCTGACTTGGCACGTCCCTCAAACTGGGCTGGTGCTTCTGGGAAATGCTGCCATCCTGAAGTCTCACTTATGGGAAATGATACGTTTTTAAAATTTGTTTGCATTAATGTGTTGTGTGACAGCTCTCTGATTGCATGGGGTGTGAAGAAGTTACTGTGATACAGTGAGTAAGTGGAGGTAGGGACAGCATTCTTGTAATAGTTTTTGCCTTCCATTTTAATGCAAAGCTTTATTCTTGTCTCTTATTTGTTGTTTGTTTGTTTCTGTTTAAGCGGTGTCCTCTGGGCTGGGAAGCTTCCCCTTCTGCTGATCCTTAGAGGCACACTCCCTGAGCCATCTGCACTGCAGGGCCTTGCTGATCTCCATCTCAGACCCCTGCCCCTTCACGGGGTCACTGGGGAAAGACCATGGCTGACACTGGGGAGGGGAAGAAGGAGGAAGCTGATTATAAAAGACTGCACAGCTTTCCACTGATTAGGGTAAGAAGGAAAATGAGTTATGTCTTTAGCAGTGTTACAGATATGCAGTGCTACCTTTGTTCTTCCCTACCTTCCAGAATAAGATTTCTTCCACTGACAGCTGCTGTGAGAGCTGTGCTGTACCTTAGCTGTTCCTTGATTCAGGATTGATTCAGTCACCACCATTTCTTCTGCCTGTCTGTCAGGCAAGGAAATCAGTCAGCCAGGGGAGCGTGGCACAAAGCAATCATCTCATGTTCCACACATGCCGCCTTTGGAGCCCTCTGCTCATGTTGCTAGACACAACTTGTTTTTATTCTGTTTAGAGGAGCAGGAATAAATGATCTTAGCCAGCTAGATAGCAGAAAAGACTGTAATTTAGACTTCTGTTATGCTTATAGCCATAATTAAGGATGGTTGAAGCAGTGCTTTCTCTTCATTTTAGCACTGAAAAACTGTTTATCTCCTCCTTTAAGCTATGCTTACTTTTATGCTAGCCTTAAATTTGGAAGAGAACAATTTTGCATGGACTGGGACAAAGGAAAGAATGGACAGTCAGTATAGTAATAAGCCATTTTCATATTAATCATTCTAATGCTTGATGATGTTCTGCTTTAAGCTAACATTGAACGTCACGTGGAGTAGCTGCCTTGTGTCCGTGCCAGCAGTCTGGGCTCTGTGACAGCGTGGGCAGCATAAGGGCTGTTTTCTGTTGTCTTCTGTCTAGCTTTTATTTTTCTGCTCAGTTCCTCTTTCTTGTTTGCTCTTTGCAGCACACAGACATGCCGGAGGAGATGCGTGTAGAGGCCATGGAGCTGTGTGTCACAGCGTGTGAGAAATATGCCACGAACAATGAGGTATGAGCTGAATCCATCAGGCCAACCTTTCGTTACTGCAGCTCAAGGAATCTGCAGGAGCAGGGCTGGAGCTGTAGGGCACAGCAGAATCACATACTGACAGATTACTCAGTTTCTGTTCTGGGCAAGGGCAGAAAGAGACAGCTTGGCTAGATCTCAGATTTAGTTGCTTTTGTGAGTGAGATCTGTACTAGCTGTTTGCTTTCATGCAGGAAGCAAAGATGAGTCACAGAGCGATGCCGCCTCACAAACCTTATCTCCTTCCTTCTCTGTGAGCTTCCTCTCTGTTCATAAAATGTCCTGTCTGTCCTGAGGGCCTGTGTCAAAACTGTGTGAGAGTGGCCTGTCCCAAAATGTGGGTCCATCTGTCAGCGTTGAGCAAGATCATCCCCATCAGGGCAGGGAGGAGACTCTTATTTTGGAAATGAGCAAATTAAGCTCTTCGAACCTTTAGGTACAGTCTGTTCAGTCTTCCCTGTCAGCTTTCAGCCTCTTGAATGAAATTACTGAGAACACGTAGATAGGGTGTGATGGAGGAGTTACAGTCTTTTGAAATATTACCCTCATCTTTGAGGTAGAAAGATGAATGAGAACATGCTTGCTCAATGGGCAGGGCACAGATTGCTTGTGCTAGAGGAGCTCTGTGCTGGAGTGAGGCAAAGCTACAGAGCAGGAGATTCCTTCTGTCCCCTCATGCCTGAGACAACAAGTGTCACTGCAAAATCTTCTCCTTTTCTAGACCTAACAGGGTGTGATCTTAGAGAAGCAAGCCTTCTAAAAGTCAGCCTAGTTTCACTGTTTTGGTAATTAGCTGGAAAAATATATATATAAATGGACTCATGTAAAAATAGCTGCAGCTTAGTGACCTGAATCTCCTACCATGCTCAGCGTGCCCAGCGTAACTCCACCACCATCAAAAACAGCTCTTGCTTCTCTCTCAGACTGTGTGAATGAGAAGAATGCCTGCTAGATGTAGTTGTTTAATTTCTCCTAGCTGCTGTGTTGGAGGATGCTGCAAACAGTAAGCTGCTTTAGCCTTTGGCACAGCCCTGAGGAGCTTCCAGTTTGCTCAGTGCAGCTGCATAGCTGTTGCCCTGGCTTGAGTACTTTATTAGAGAAGAATAGCAGGGGGATGTTTGCACGGAAACTTGCTGCTTGCTCTGTCTCACCCTACACTTTCCTTCGTTCTCCAGAGTGCTGCCAAGATGATCAAAGAGATGATGGACAAGAAATTTGGATCTTCCTGGCACGTGGTGATTGGGGAAGGGTTTGGCTTTGAGATCACTCACGAGGTGAAGAATCTGCTGTACATGTTCTTTGGTGGCAGCCTGGCTGTGTGTGTCTGGAAGTGCTCCTGACATCTGGCTGGCTCGCAGACTCGCTGCATACAGGAGATTTCTTCCTTCACAGATTTTGTACAATGTGGAGGTGGGGCTTTATTTTTAATAGTTAAAACATCGAGATTTCTTTCCATACTGACATAACAGTTCTATGGGATGCGTATATTTTGGGGAGGGGGTGTGTGTATAACTTGCTAAGCCTGTCCTCGCTCATGGGATTTCTTGATCTGTCTGTGGCTCTCTCTTTGATGTTTGAGTTTAAACAAGAAGGAGGTGTTTAAATAGGTAATCTCATGACACACCATGCAGCAGCACTATGAAGGCGAAGAGGAGGAGAAAAGGTGCTATCTAGTCCTAAGTTTTCTCCTCCCACTTGTTCTACATTGTGTCCTCTCTTCTCTGCCTCCCTGGCTATGTGTGGTATGGTTCTGACCAGTGCCTCTTTCCTCCCTATTAACAGCCCCACCTTCCTGTCTTCTAAATGACCACGCAGAGCTGGCTGCGTCAAGGGTGTCCCTTTGGGTTGTCCGTGGAGGTGTTAGCTGTGGGGAATTAGGCTTGTTTTACCCTTTTCTGCTTGATTTGGGAGGACAGCTGAGCTGCCTGGATGTAGGAGGCTGCTATGCAAGCTACCCCCTCCTTTCTCACCCACTGCATGCTGAGATGGCACTGAAACACAGGCGGCTGTCGATGCCTGGGGAGTGGGTGAGAACTCTTCGTACTGCTTGAATGCCTCCCTGTCAGTTCCTGGGGGTGTTGCAAGTGCTGTGTACTTTCAGCATCTTGTTTGGAGGCTGGTAGGGGAAGGAGGTGCCATGTGAGATATCACTTGGTCATCAGAAACCTAACGTCCTTTTGGACTTGCTTTTTTAGCCTGTTTCTTCTTTTAAAGCTGTCAGTGTTGGAGGATGGAGTGAACGTAATTGTATGTTACGTATATGGCTTATTTATATAAATCTGGGGAACTGTGTTTTTTACAATAAAAAAAAAATAGTAAATTGTCCTTTTCTGTGTTTGTTCTAAAATAAAAACCCAATGGTGGTGGATGAAAAAGAGAAGTAGTTCAGGAAACATGGAAGTAAGCAAGGAATGATGTGGCTCAGGCAACAGCTGATGGTGGATACGCACCCTGCTTCCTTCCTGGGTGACTCCAAGGGAGCAGAGAAGCACTCTCATCCTTCCCATTCAATTCCTTTTGCTGCTGCAAGCCTGCTGAGGAAGGTTGCCACGTCCATGGTGTTGCTGACCCAGGTCCTCTGTGTGAGTAGCATCAAGGGGGCGTACCTGCATCCTCTGCCCAGCCAGCGTGCATCTGCTCTGACCTTTGGGGTCTGGCATTTGTGACTTCTATGATTTTTCAGACTTTGCTCTGAGGAAAGCCACCAACAGTGCCACTGGCAGCTCATGTTTTATGAGGCCGTACTCAAGTACATAGTTCAATTCCAAAGGACTTTTCTGCACTAGGGCCTGCAGTGGATCAAATGTGAAGGGTTTTCCATTTCCCTTAGTTCCTTCTGCGGATCTCAGTGTTATGATAGAGATGTCTTTCTGCCGTTTCAGCATGTCAGGAATTGGAGTAATATAAGTCCACTAGAAATGATTTTGATTTTGCATCATCTGTGCTTGCTGGGCCCCACATCCTGCCACGTAATTCTTTACTGGTCAAGTGAAAGGGACTTGTAAGGTAGTGGGGAGGACACAAAACTGGTACCATGTCTGCCAGGTGCCGGGATCGCTGTGCAGTCTGGAAGGCTCCAAACCCATGAGCTTCCTGTTGGTGTGATTACTCTGTCTCGCTTCAGCTGGCTGACTTTTAAATGAAAATAGCACTGTTGACTGGCACTTGCTGCAGCTGGCAGGTGGAAAAGCTGGTTTTCTGTTCCAAGACTTTCCACCTCCTTTATGTTTTATGTCTGGATGCACATCCAGAAGAAAAGGTAAAATCACCATCTTTGGAATGCCCTGTGCTCGCTGGAGCATAGTGATACCTTCGAGCCATGCCACGGTCTCCTTAATTGTCCTTCTTTCACACTAATGAATAATTAACTGCTGTGTGCATGTCCACAGACAGGCTGGTCATGGGCATCTCTGTGGGGTCATGCTGACCTGCAGATATTCGTAGGGAGAGGGAGCTGCTTACCTCAGCATGCAATCTCTTGGCCTTGCTACCAGCCTGTTATCACTTTGGCCACCAGCTGACCGAAGCTAATGTCTCTGTGACCTGCATTTGCAATAGGCAAACGCTGACCAGTCCCCAGCATCCTCAGAGCACGAGCTCACAAACAAATCGAGGTGAGCTAGGTGTGAATTTGCAGCAAGTCAGCTCCTACACTGCGACTCCCGCAAGGTAAGCAAGTGCAAGGTGGCTCACAGGAGAGTGCCAGGCTATTTTTGTTTCCAAGGGCAACAGCTCTCCCACAGGAACTTACCACAAAAAGCCACCCCATTTTTGAATGCCTGTTATATGTGAAAGCATAAACCTCAACTTTCCAAAATTCAGCTGTTTGCGTCAAGGCCCCCAAGCAAGTATTTGGTAGGCTCAGCTTTCCTGCTTGTTGCAAGTTGAGTCATGTCGCACTGACTCCTGTGTGCTACAAGAAACTCCCACCCTCTTTTTGCTGTGGAACTAGAGCACAGTTTGGGGCTTTTGCTATGGAACTCGAGCACTTTGAGGCATGCCTGTAATTCACATGTAGTAAGGTTCATGGATTGGAGATGGTCTCTTCTTGTTTCATGTTATCCTGCAAGTAACCACTCTGCCTCTGATGCTTTGGAGCCTAAAAATGCTTTTGACTCTGAAACTGCCATCTCTTGCTGGAGGTTTTTTACCTTAAAAGTTTTTTAGCAGAAATCTGGGGAGGTTGGCACTGAACTATTCTATTCTAACTATTGTTTTTCCTCTCCCCGTTGTGTCTTGCCACCTGGGTGTCGCTGCTATTGCCATCAAAGCACCAAAGTGAGTCAGAGGTGGAAAAGGAGTTGAAAAGCTCAGGGTGATACATCGGTGCCAGTCAGAATGACCCTTTCTATCCGTCCATCCCAGCAAGCCAGTGTGCAGCGGTAGCAGCTCAGAGGGCTGTGCTCATGACTTCATCCCTCCCTGCCGAGGGCAGATGAGGAGCATCGTTATCGGCTGTCGGCCTGCGTGGCGGGGAGTCCGCGCTCTGTGCCAGCAATGGAAATGTCCTTGGGCGTAGGGCTCCTCCTGCATCCCAAAGGTGACTGGGCCCTGCTGAGAAGGGATGAAGAAGCTGGAAAAATGGAGGAAAGAGGTGCAAATTCAATCGCTTCTCTGTGATGATGTCATGGCAACGAGGTGCACTGATGTGCTGTCAGGCAATCAGGGCAGGCTTTGAAGCTCCCCAGCTCTTCCCCGTTGCTGTAGGCTCACGTCTGGCTTTCTGAAAAATCTTTTGGTTAATATTTAATGCCAGCGTTGAAGTGCAAAGGGTGGCGAGCACCCCAACTATTCCCCTTTCCTCTACGTTCCAATTTGATGCTAAATTAGAGTTGGGGAGCGGGGAGGATTATGATTTACCATAGCATGGGAACAGGTCTCCTGATGAGAAGGATGGCTTCAACCCATAGTGAGGAAAAAAGGCTGCAGGCTCTGTGCTGGTGTCCCTGTGTGTGCAGCAGCCCTGATAACTCAGCAGGAGGGAGCTACCTACATCACAGACCTGTCCCAGTCTGGCTCTGGGATGTGGGAAGGATGCCTTTGTCACCCTCCCTAGCCAAGTTTGGAGCTGATGCTGGGCCACTGGAAGGAGCAGGGGGTCTCCCTTTCCCTTTGCTCTCCCAGAGCTGGCTTTGGAATAAAGGAATCCATGGCCCCTCTCCCAGAGCTGAGCCCCGCTCCTTTGATGCAAGTAGTTAGCACATGTTTGTATTGGCTTTTTTTTTTTTTTTCCACTAAGCAATGACCTAACGATCCTGTGTTCCAACCACAGCCCCTCCTAAGCTCCTTCTTTCCAAAACGTGCATCCAGACCGGATCCAGCAAATCTCCCTTTGCAAGACGCCGTGTTCCCTTCCCCAAGGAAGCCATCTGCTCCCCTCTGCCCGGCTCCTTCTGCATGGCTTGCAGCTCGCCAGCCCTGTGGGAAGCTCTGCTCCTGTCGGCCATGCTGTTTGTGCGTGGCAGGGGGAAGGAAACACGGTGCTGGCTGGATCTGGGGCTGCTGGCAATGTCAGCTGGAGGCGGTTTCCAAGCAACTGTCGTGCTGCAGGACACGGAGAGCTAGGAACACCATATTCCTGCTGTCCGTGTGGGCTGGACAGAGCCAGCATGGGGCTGGTGTGGTGAGCAGCACAAGTGAGAGAGTAGTGTAGGGCCGTGGCACTGGAGGAGGTCTCCAGACCTGCTCCTTATCTATCTGCCTCCAGCAAGGGGACAGCATGATGTATGGGATTTCACGTGTCCTCTGGATTTTTGGGGATATTAAAAAGGGTAAAATTGCTCCAGCTGCTGTTTTATCCTATTTATTTTACCCACTGATGGGCAGTTGCATACGAGCATCCTTGAATAGATGGAGAGGTGGTAACATTGCCCTGGCTGAGCAGTGGGAGCAAAACTGGATGGCGAGTGCGTGGATATAAGCATGGGAGCCCAGCAGATAGGATGAGCTGGGGAGTGGGGCAGAAGTATGCAAACAAGGAGGGAAAGCAAGGGGAGCTGGGCAGGAAGAAGCCCAGAGAGATGGGACAGTGCAGGGCATCTGTTTGATTGCCAGTGTGCAGGTTATCTGTGACCATCTCTGTCCCCGACCCACCTGCAGCTATTGATTTGGAACTTGCCCTGTTCATGCTAACCTTGGCACTGCTAGCTCGTCCCTTATAAATCCTGCTGCAGCTCCTACCCCTCTCTCTGTCCTGCCACCAGGGTCTTCCCACAGCTCTGCTTTTTGCTGCAATGTTTTAGATGCAGGACGACTCTCCCTGATTTCTGCCTGGAGGAGAGACGGGGCAGTGGAAGCACTGACTCTCTTTGCCCCGTGTGGGTGCCTGCCCCTTGGCAAGGAAGGATGCGGCGCCAGCTGCAGACACTTGTCCAAAGGAAGTTTAAAGTCCTCCTCCTCCTGCTGCTGCTCCTGGCCTTTCTGCTGCATGTCACGATGGACTTGGCTCTCCCTGAGAGTCGCAGGCTCTGCAGCTGCGATGCAAAAGCCTTGGGTACCCCCACAGGCAGCCCTTTGCTGGCCAGCCTTGAAAAGCTGAGCCTGCGCATCCTTCAGGACTTCAGTGGCAGCAACGGTTCCTTGGAGAAAAGCTCCCAGCCTCAGGGAGCAGGGCCACTGGGAAAAGATGGGGACGTGGGGATCCAGCACCAGCATGCAGATGTCAGTCCAGCATGGGCCAAGGGATCCAAGCTGGCTGCACTCTTTGAGCATCCCCTTTATAACATCCCGTTGCCGGAGGTGAAAGACAAAGACAAGCTGTTTGTCGTCAATCCCATGGAAAAGTTCAGCCTACGGAGCAGTGGGAGCGATGAATGGTGAGGAGTGGGCTGGTCTGGGGGGATGAGTGGAGCTTCTTGAGGGGACACATGGCAGGGAGCAAACAAATTATTTCCTTGCTTGGCTCAGCATCCCACCTGGATAGCCCCAGTGCCTCAGATCTTATCTCAGCCCCGTTTCCAGGCTGCTGCCCCGGGGAGCTGTAGGGAGCCTCCTGCCCATGTGGCGCATGGTGAAGTCCAAGGGGAGGCCTGAATTATTCATACTGTTACATATAGTATCTTCTAGGTCATCTCCTCCTCTCCTTACCCAGCACTGGGCTCTCGCTGTAAATTTCTGGGAACTTCCCAATGCAGACTTCTGACCAGTTTGATCCCCCTCTCTCACCCACCTCATGTTGAAAATGCAAAACCCCAAATGTCAGCTGGCTCTTGACACGAGACCACGGCAGTCCTGTGTTTCTCAGGGCACTTTCTGACCTCTTTAGGCTCTGCTGGGTGGTGAGCTCACCACTGCTGGGTGCCTATTTTTGTCCCTGCACTACTAACCTCTAATTAGAAAGGAAGATATTAATGGAGATACCTTGGGTAATACGCAGCAGATTCCTTATGGAAAGCACACCTTCCAGAGGTGCAAATACTAAGATGGTGGGACCAGATAACCTAAATTCATGCCACAGAGAAACCAGGGGGAGCCATGGGTCTGGCCAGGGGGAGTAAGTTACAAGTGGGAGCTGAGGATGCTGCTGGGAAGCATTCTTTTATGGATGTTTTGTGTTCCCCTTTAACTGTGCATAGCTGATTGCACACCTGGGAGCTGATCCCCTGGGGTGAGATCAGCTGGAAATTGAGGATCAGCTGGGAGACCATGGGGACTTTCTGTGGGGGACACAAAGGTGGCCATCCGCTGCCAAGGGGACCTGCCTTAGGGGCTTCTGTCACCAATCACCACCCAGGCCTTGTGCCGGCTCTTCCCAGAAAGGGCCTGGGAACAAGACCCCATCCCAACTAAATGTTGTTGTTGTTGGGGTGGTGGTGGCTTTTGGGCTGCAGGGTCAGCAGCAGTAAAGCCGAGATGGTCCTCCCGACAGGGAAGACAGCCTACGACACCTACCCTGCCTGGCTCAAGTTCCACGTCGGCATCAACCGCTACGAGCTGTACCCGCGCAGGGACCCCCTGATGCCCACCCTCCTGCAGGACCTGGCCACCATGAAGATTGTCAGCTCGGGTATTCGCCCCTACCCACGCCCCTGTCCCATTGGCCTCCCCACCAGGCCCAGTCACCCTCGTGTGCCCCCTTCCAGTGCAGAAGTCTGGCGGTACCCAGCTGAAGCTCATCATGACCTTCCCGAACTACGGGCAGGCCCTCTTCAAACCCATGAAGTGAGTAGAGCTTGACTTCAGCCCCAGTGCTGGAGGCCCCTTCCCCTACTGTTGGCAGCAGGCTTGGTGCAGCTTGTGATGGGGTAGTGACCTCCAGTGGTGGGAAGGAGAAGACGATCCATGAGGACCACTTCCCAGCCCTGGTCCCAAAGGGATTTGGGGCTGCGCCGTGCAGCGGGATACACCTGTGCCTGGTCATGTCTTGGTAGCACCACAGACACAGCACAAGGGGTGGTTTGCGAACAAGCAGGAGGTGATCCATTCTTTGGCCACCATCCCTGCCCTCCCCAAATCTTCTCAGGCAGAGCAGGGAACAAGAGACCCCCGCTGACTTCTTCTACTTCTCAGACTTTGAGCGGCACAATGCAGAGATTGCAGCCTTTCACCTGGACAGGTGAGTTCTCGTGTGGCCCGCACCCAAAAAAGGGCCTCAGCCCTTGGGGGCTGAGGTAGAAAACCTCAGCCTTGGGTGCTTGGTGGAAAACACAGCCAAAAATCTTCCCTTTGGGGCCTGTAGCCTCCCAGCAAACCTGACATCCAGCCCTGGCCAAGAAACAGCTCCTTCAGCCACCTCTTCCTCCTCTATTGCAAGGACGCCTGCATCTCATGGCGCTTGTACTGACTGGGTGTAAAAAAATGGCTCCACTGGCAAGAAATTGTGCTGAGTTTTGTGTTTTAGGATCCTGGATTTCCGACGAATCCCACCAGTTTCTGGTCGCTTGGTGAATATAACAAAGGAGATCCGGGACATCACGACTGACAAGAAACTGGCCAAGACATTCTACATCTCCCCAGGTGAGCTCTTGCTAACCTTTGGCTCTCACACAAGGGCAGGCACCCATGTGGGGATGGCTCCAGCTGCCACCGCGTCCCCATCTATGGAGGTGGTTCTCAAGAAGAGTCACCATGCTATTGCTTTATGCATGTGGCATGGTGAGAAGCTTCATCTGGTTCTTGTTCAGTCATCAGCCTGTGCTTGTCCCCCATGCCAGCGGGCAACGTCTGCTTCTACGGGGAGTGCTCCTACTACTGCTCCACCGAGCACGCTCTGTGCGGCAAGCCGGACCAGCTGGAGGGCTCCATGGCAGTCCTGCTGCCCGACAAAGCTCTGGCCAAGCGTCGCTCCTGGCGCAGCCCCTGGCGCCGCTCCTACCACAAGAGCAAGAAGGCTGAGTGAGCTGGGACTTGGGGGGACACAAAGGGACTCGAGGAGCACGGGAGGGCTGGCCCTGTGGTCGCTCTCATGTACCCATTGTCCATCCTTTGCATGAAGGTGGGAGCTGGACCCCAACTACTGCAGCCAGGTGCGCCGGACGCCGCCTTATGACAGTGGTCATCGCCTCCTTGACCTCATCGACATGGCAGTACTTGATTTCCTCATGGGTGAGAGCATCCCTCCAGTTTCTTCTCACTTTCCAGTAGCTGATGGGAAAGGCAGTGGTCAGGCTTTGCACCGTGAAGGCACTCTGCCTGCTTGTCCCCACGGCCTGGTCCCCACCTGATGGCATGTTTGGGGCTGAAGAACCGGTGGCATGTTGCATACACTGAGTCACAGAACTGAGTTGGAAAGGACCCTTAACTGTCATCTAGTCCAACTCTCCTGCAATGAATGACATGAGTGAGGCTGCTTTGCCCTGTACCACCACAGTGTCGGGGTGCTTGTCTCCTGCCAAAACTCAGCACAGGATGACATTGTGCAGGAGTTGGCATGGGGCCATGCGGGTACCCATCCCAGCACCCCACTGCTGCCACCCTCTGCTCACCCTTTCAGGCAACATGGACCGGCACCACTATGAGACCTTTGAGAAATTTGGGAACGACACCTTCTTGCTTCACCTGGACAACGGCCGCGGGTAGGAGAGAGGGGAGCACCCAACCACCTTAAATGGATAGAGCTGGTGCTGAGGGATGCCAAGAGTCAAAATGAGAGCCAATGCAGGGTGATGCTACGCACACCCCGATGCCAACCCTTGGGTTTCTCCCTCAGCTTCGGCACGCACTCTCGTGACGAGATGTCCATCCTGGCCCCGCTCCAGCAGTGCTGCAGGTAAGCTGCTCCCACCACCATGTTCCCACTGGGGAAAAACCCACCCTGATGTCAGGCTCTCTCCTCCGCATCGGCAGCATCAAGAAATCCACCTACCTGCGGCTGCGGCTGCTGGCCACCGAGCCCTACCGCCTGAGTGAGCTGATGCGGGAAGCACTGGCTGCCGACCGCCTGGCGCCCGTCCTGGCCGAGCCCCACCTGCAGGCATTGGACCGGCGCCTGGGCAAGGTGCTGGTGGCTGTGGGACGCTGCCTGGCCACAGCAGCACAGCCCCACCAGGTGCTGGTGGATGACATAGGGTCGTGGCTGTGACGTCACGGAGACGGTGACATGGTGTGATGGCAATCATCACCCTGGGAAGAGCTTGGAGTGCGTGGTATTGGATGATGCAAGGGGAGAAGGGCGGGTGCGCGCGTTATTTAAATAAATAGGTCGGCCTCGTGGAGAAAACATGATTTGGGATCCCGGCCAATGGGGCTGTTTTTCCAGTCCCAGATTCACGTGGCACAGCCATCCCTCCAAATCCTTTTATAATGAGAGAAAAAATTTTCATAGAATCACAGAATGATTGGTTATGGAAGGGACCTCAAAGCCCACCCAGTCCCACCCCGTGCTGTGGGCAGAGCTGCCACCCACCAGCTCAGGCTGCCCAGGACCCCATTCAACCTGGCCTAGAACCTCCAGGGATGGGGCACCCACAGCTCTCTGGGCAGCCTGTGCCAGTGCCTCACTGCCCTCTGAGTAATGTATTTCCACCCAAGACCTAGCCTAAATCTCCTGTCTTTTAGTTTAAAGCCATTCCCCCTCATCCTGTGCAAAAAGCTGGTCCCTTTTCTTGCAGTCAGTCCCTCTCCAGCCTTTCCCCAGCCCACAGTTAATGGGGCCTTTGGTGAGCTTTCACGTGGTTCACCCAACCTGCAATGCTCATCCCTGCCCACGCTCTTCCCACACCCACCCAAAAATCCCAGCGGGCGCCGCGTCCCTCCAGCAGAGGTGGCTCTGGGATCCACACCGGGCCCAGCACCATATATAGTGCCCGGCTCCCGGCTTATCCACTAATCCTGGCCGGGGTTAATCTGCGGTGGGTCTGCGTCAGCCGGGACAGGTGCTGTGGGACAGGGGCTTCGTGCCCCATGCTGGGGATGAGTGGTGGGGATGGGTCTCTGGGGTGGTGGCGGGGGCACGAGGTGTCCCCAGGACACGGTGCAGAATGCAGCAAATTGGGCGAATTGGTCGCTAATGAGCTATGGGGAAGGGGGGGGGAAGGCAGCGGCTAATGGGGCCTGGGAACGGCAAGGGGAGATCGGGGCTAGAATTAATGGGCTGGAAGAGGGGGGGGGGGGG